GTCCTTACAGAAATGTTGTCTCTTAGAACTTGTGACTGCAGTTAGCAGAACTTCCACAAAACTATGGAATTTTATATCAACAACATCAAGTCTGTGGGGAAGTTTTGACTTGCCATCAGTTTCAGATAAATCATTGTTTCAAGTCTTAAAATATTCACAAAATAAATAGATATTTAACATTCCAATGGGATCGGAATACCACTGTCTTGTCAAAACATAGATTTTAAGTTTGCATGCGAGTTTCAGTGTTCTCCGGGTCATCAATGATTATATTTATTAGATAATAGCAGAATTCTTAAAGCATAATACGGCATGATCTAAAATGTTGCCGGCTCGGTTTGATTTAGCCTGTTCATGGAATGTCCAGTAGATCTACGTTGTGCGACAAACACCAATATGGGAGATCGCAAAATTCACTGGATGTAAAATCTTGAAAACGACGATTTTGCAATCTTGAAAGATTGTTAAGAACTTGAGCAGATATTTTTCATACGTTGATATTAAACCACAAACAATACTTGAGACTTTGAATGCATGTGGTATTGACTTTAATTGTGTGAATTAAAAAGAATTATTGGTAATATAATTTATATCTGTATCATTTAATCACAATATTAGAGATGGTTACAATCATTTCATTTTTCATAATGGTTCAAAATATGTCAGTTTGTTTTAGCAAGTTCATTGATTAAAAATTTTGTGAAATGTTTGTTTTTCTATTTTTATGGCACAATTTTATACTGTTATTATCGAGAAAGGCCCAAGTTGGAGATCACGTGAATGAATTTACACTTTGACATAGTAATTTACGAAGATAAAGTGATTCAGTGTCAGCGGTTCAACCACTCTGGCTGAAAATGTTCTTTAGAATGTAAAAATCTACTAATATTCTATAGTAAAATTATTACTCTTAAAAAATGCTAACTCAAAAAGTATTAACAATTTTAGCCTTACTTTGTCATATCTCCGCAAACTCATTTTTAGAGTAATTTTTTTATCTAAAAATAAACATTTTTGGTCTATCTCCAAATTTTTTTTTTAATTTTTACAATTACTGCAAATTATAAAGGTATATAACAAAGTGCTTTCATCACATGTTGACATCTATAATACCAATCCAGAAGTCCACACTGTTAGGAGTTATTAAATAAAAGTTACAACGTCTTGAACCTTTAACCCCTTTTTCCCAAAAAAGAGGAAATTGTAGATACACCATTTTTAGAATAGTGCGACGGTTTATATTTCTTAATAATCAATTTGCATATCTTTCATTTTTAAGTGCCCTAGCTGGTCAATGTAAGAATATTTTTTTTATATTATAAGCTTTTGGACCTAAGTTGGATTCCTTTAACTGAAATCCTAACAATATTTGTGAAAATTGAAATTCTTTAACTCATGTAACTTTCTGATGAATAACAGTCATAAAATACAGGTTTTATGAATAGATTAAAGTTCCATACCTTTCGAATTTGCTTTTCTTTGGAAATTGCTGGAGCTCTTGGTCTCGTCTAGAATTTGGACGGTAACTGGTTGGTCATCCTTGGATGTGACAATCCCTGGCCCAACTTGGTTATGAGAAGGCTTGCATTGGCATAAAGAAGACTTTAATTTGTCTTGGCTATGGGATGACTTTATCTCACCTTGGCCATGGACAGATTGTCCTGTCTCTCCTTGAATTTTGGGAGACTTTGGCTCTTTAAAGTCTTCCATTCGAAATTCGAGTCATTTCTGTAACAGAAGAAAGAAAGATATACTGCAAGCTACTAGTTTAGTATTGTAAAACAAAAACTAAAGTTACTTTAAATCGGAACAAGATATTAATAAGTCAGGAGAAAAAAGCAAACAAAATAAAGTTATCAAGTTAAAAAATTGGAGGATTTGATATTCATTGTTTTGTCACAATGACCATTGGAATTACTCAAACTGATTTAGGTTACACCAAGCACAATTAGGTTACAGCTCAGATAAAGCAAAATTTAAACAATTACAAGTATGCAATGATCTTCAAGATGTTCAATAAGAGCTAGGGACTGGTTCAGACATAAACAACCATTGTGATAATTAAAACAAGAACAACATTCATTTGTTGCAAATAATGTCATTAAATTTCTGTTTTAACTGAAAAAGTTAGGCTATTCATGCCATATATATTGCATATATCTTCTTCTTTATAGAATCAAATAAAGAAAATTAGCAGAATAAAAATGAAAATTTGTCTTCATTCAAGAAAACAATTTATTAATATTTGTACGAAATAAAACCCCAGGGCAAAATCAGTAGTCCTGTAATCGTTGCATATAACTTATTGCTTGAACTGTTAACAAAGGATACTCGATTATACAATGCTTGACTGATGTACTTCTCTAACTTCATGACCTACTTATCTCCGAATTCATCATCGAATTTATGGGAATGCATACAAGTAATTCTAGATATTTATATTACGAATAAAATAAAATTACTCACTGAGAATGTTTCCTTTGGTAGAGTTTTCAGAAGCTATACTGATTCTGATTGACGTCTCTAAGTAACGACGTCAAGCGTGACAAGGGACCTCACTCTTTAAAATTATTGCGTTGCAGGGGACGTAATTTTTGTTCTATACTGCAAAATATATACATGCACGAGGGCTAATTACTCCTAGATATTAAGCTTAACTGCGTCTTATTTGTTTCCGTACTTATTTTCAGCGTATCGCATTTTTCATGGTTACGTCACATGTCTTACGGTTATGTCACATATGTCTAAATATAAAATGTCAACAGTGATTGCATAGTAACACACACTTTCGGTCTTTCTTTATTCAATAGGGAAAATACGGGTCGTGTTAGAATAAACAACAAAGCACAAATTTGTTTGGCTTTTTAATTTTATTAAGTTTATCATGTGAAAGACATTTATAATTTTGTTATTATTTCTTATTCTAAATATTCATTGAATAAACAATATAGAAACAAGAGGGCCATGATGGCCCTGAGGTCGCTCACCTGTATATAGACCCCCCGGAGCGCGTCCAGTTTAAACCCCAGGGCTTTTATTTGAACAAATTTGGAAGACACCCATTAGAAGATGTTTCATGATGTAAAGTTTTTTACTACACACATATAATGAAAAACACTGATCTTCCCTCCCCCCGGCAGGGCCAATTTTAACCCATGGGCTTTTATTTGAACAAACTTGGTAGACACCCATAAGAAGATGTTTCATGCTAAACATCTAAGCTCTAGCTCATTGGGTTTTTTAAAAGAAGATTTTTAAGTTTTTACTGTACACATATAGTAAAAAACAATGACACCCCTGGGGCGGGGCCAGTTTTGACCCCAGGGCTTTTGTTTGAACAAACTTTGTAGACACTTACTAGAAGATGTTTCATGCTTAATATCTAAACTCTAGCTATTTGGGTTTTTTCAAAGAAGATTTTTTAAGTTTTTGCTATATACATATAAGAAAAATCAATGACCCCCTGGGGCGGGGCCAATTTTGGCCCCAGGGATTTTATTTGAACAAACTTGGTAGACACCCATTAGAACATGTTTCATGCTAAATATCTTAGCTCAAGCTCTTTGAGTTCTTTAAAAGAAGATTTTTTAAGTTTTTACTATATGCATATAGGGAAAATCAATGACCCCCTGGGGCGGGGCCAATTTTGATCCCAGGGCTTTTATTTGAACAAACTTTATAGACACTCACTAGAATATGTTTCATGCCAAATATCTAAGCTCTCCCTCTTTGGGTTTTTTTAAAGAAGATATTTTAAGATTTTTCTATCGGTTGCCATGGCAACCAGAGTTCTGCATGGAATTAAATTCCTTGAACAATTTAAAGGTGACCACCAAATGAACATTCCTGTGAAGTTTGGATGAAATTGGCTTAGTGGTTTATGAGATGTCATTTAAAGTAAAAGTTTACGGACGGACGCCGGACGAAAAGCGATCACAAAAGCTCACCCTGTCACTTTGTGACAGGTGAGCTAAAAATTAAGAAGTGCAGAGTACTGGTTCTTGTGCACTGCACTTCGGGTCATTATAAGAAGCATGCATACCAAGTTTGAAGTCAATCCGACTTATAATGACTGACTTATGCTCTGGACAAGCTTAAGGGGACGCCGACACCGACGACTACAAAAGTAACCCCTATATGTCGCCTTTTTCAAGGCGACACAATAAATCTGGTCACCGATATATAAACTTATATTTCAACATTACTTCTTTTATCAACGTTAAAATTGTCAATATACCCATTTTTGCAATTACTTGTTCATTCTCTTTTCACGTTTATAATCAACTCCTTCAACCTTTCAGGACAATGTGTTTCATCTATTGATAGACTAAAATTTGAACAAAATTTCACGAAAATATGACCGGACTTTCAAAAACTTAAAGGCTGTAGACCTAATACATCAAATTCTGTGTAAAAACCTACATATAAAAACAACCGTTTCCCTTTCTACTTTTTCTGTTCTTTACCTAAAATTTAGTCAGACAAAGGTTTTTACCCGTTTCCAAAATAGATTTGACATACTGACAAAGTTCTTCAGAAAATACAGTAAATGTAGAGGGCAGAGTTCTGAATATACATGTGGTTCATGAAGCTTGTTAGTAAGCGATATTAAGAACTGATTATTAAGACATTTGCCTGATCTGATGGCGCCCTCTGTTACTAAAATGTTAATATGCAGATTCTATCTTTTATATGTCTTGATTAGTACAGCTTAACTTGCTGTGAATCGCTCAATGGTTTAGCGGTGGCCTAGTGGTTAAGGTGTCTGCCTCTCAACCCAGAGATCATGGGTCCGAGCCCTACTCGGGTCACGACCATCTTTCTTCATATGACACCAGTACTGGTTGGTTCCAGGAAGCGGACTCGAAATTGATTAATATAAGTTGCAAGAACTTGTTTCGCAATCAAGCCTTAATAAATATGTTTAAACCAATTAATGACTGACACGAGCTATCAGACATATAAACTGATAGCAACCAAAGATTATATATACAACACAATAATTTTCATATATATATATTATGTCTAAAAGATAAATATCACAGATAAATGAGAAATGTCACATTTCTCTACAATAAATAAAAATTCTGACATCTTCCTTGATATCATATATTCTGACAGTTCTCCATTTCTCAGTTTCCATCCAGTCAACATCACCAATTCCTTTTTCTTTACTACGATTCCTGCTGTAAAATGCATGTTCAAAATCATTAGTTCTATAATGGCATTTCTCCTGTTTGATATGCACTTCGATATTCATGTCATTGCAACAGGTAAATCATCACAATCTCATCTATATCATGATGTGAACCATGACAACTATTTCATCATTCTACTGAACATATATACTCTCCATAGTTAAGATTAAATCAGTTTCAGATTATATATTTTCAAACTTTCAAACTAATTAAAGGCACTAAATCCCAATACTGACTTTTGCTACGGTACGTTTTTTGAATGTGTATATTAATATGTATGTCTTCAATTTAAGGTAAAGACTGACAAGAATGTGTATTATCAGAAGGTTTAAAATTAATTAAACACTATGCTATCTAGATGATCTATCATCTTTTATATTATAATTTCTAACTGTAGGTTGTTTATGTTGAACTTTTTTAAACACTTTTCCAGAAGCCTTTTCTGATAATTTCTTTTCAGATTTTGGTCTCTGATAACCTGTATGTTTCCCAGAAAGGTATAAACTCTCCTTGGTATACTCGTTTGAGTCATAGTTCTCATCTGAAACAAAATACAACAACATATATTTATATAATCACTGGCAAAGATTTAAAACAAGAAAGCCATGATGGCCCTGGTTCATATGCTTGCAAATGCCATAATTGTTACGCCAAAGTCAGTAATTAGCTCACATTGACTTTTGTTAAGGATCACTAAGCAAAGCTTTTTGCCAAATAGTCAAGCTCTGGGCTTGCAAAATTCCAAAAGAAGATTTGAAAGTGTTTTCCTGTTTAATAAAGTCTACATAAATTAAGTGACCCATTGGTGGGATCAATTTTAACTCTTGAGTATGATTTATATAACTTTTGTAGAGGACCACAAGGTGGTGTAACATGCCAGATATCTATGCTCATGACAATGACATTGTAGTTTCTGAGAAGCCTTCATTGTCTAAATCTTTTCTACTTATGCATCAAACTCAGAATATTTATATAACTTTTATAGAGGACCACCTTAGTATAATTCCTGTAAAGATTTGTGAAAATCCAACCAATGGTTAGAAGATGTTGTTTGCAGAAATTGTTGATAAAGATGGACACACTGCCCTCACAAAAGCACACCTTTGAGCACTTTCTGCTCAGGCAAGCTAAAAATGCAAAATCTTCGCTGACATGTGAAATAAAGTCTCCAAAATATTTTAAAGCAATAGACCATACTTTTTCGTATAACCTTTAATGTCTAGACTTGCATTGTTTTGTGTCAGAGACATTTTAACGTTCTTATTACTAATAGTAACTACATATTAACTATGAAGAGCTATACAATATAAATCTATCATCATCTGGTAATTCTGAGTTTCATAAAAAACCTACAAACGGTCAAGCAAATTGCAACAATAAGTTTTACATCAACTCATCATTTTTTAAGTAAATATTAGATATGAACAAAGTAAAAATCTGGTATAAGCTGATGATTAGTAAGTGACCTCAGCACAATGCTGAATAGAAATCAAAGTTCAAAGTAAGGGTTGTGGGGGTAAGACACACATTTAATAAGTATAATTATGTATAAAATACCTTGAGTAGATCTCCTCTGAGGACTAGATAATCTAGGGGTGGGTGATGGTCTGCCATCCTCCAACATTTTCCACACCTCCTGTAGTGACTCTCCACCCATTGAGGACATACTCATCATTAACTGAGACCTGACAGTGTCTGGCACACTGCGCATAGAGGCAACAGTCTCTCCACCTTCTGTATTCATACTCGCTCGAACATCTATCTCTGTGTCCATAGCTGTCAGATTAAATGTTTATTAGTAAATATATTGCAATCAGTTTCCTTTCATACAGGAAATGTTGGCAACAAAAAACTTTTATGTATTTAGATTTAATAACACTTGAAAAACTGTAAATTAATACATTCCATTACACTAAGGCAATTCAAACTACTTGCCTGCTTTAACAAGAAATCAGGAATCTTAATTTTACAACATACAGACCAGCTTGCATCATCAAAGAAAACTCAGTGATGCCCAGCAATTGGTTGCTATGTCAGAATAGCCAAAGACATTAATTGCCAAGCAAATTTCATTTCAAACAGATTTTGTCCTAGATTATATAACTCTATAATCATTAAAATAATTCTTATATTACATGTATTACTTACAATCTCTAACAGCAGATGATTTCTTGAGAATAGATGAAGGTCTGTACTCATCCGTTTTACCTTGAAACTTCTGAGCATACTGTAATTCCTGCATTCATAAATACACTCAATTTACATTTTTTTCAAAGATTAACTAATATTTACTGATTGAAATCTTACATAAATTGTGACGTTAATTTAAAATAACATGTATAAAATATAGTTTTAATGTAAAAAAAAAGTTGAAAGGTATAATAAACAGCATATATTGCAATTAACTACATAAAAATATACACATTTGCCTTTAGGTAAACAATGAGTATAACAACAAGTCAACTGTCTCGGAAAATCGTTAACAATAGTGTGTCTCTTTTATTTTTGGTACAACTTCAGTTAAGGCTATACTTTAGGTACAGCTCCAGTTTAGGCTATACTTTAGGTACAGCTTCAATTTAGGACATACTTTAGGTACAGCTTCAGTTTAGGACATACTTTAGGTACAGCTTCAGTTTAGGACATACTTTTATTCATTTACCTGTTGACTATTTTCAAACCAGATCACAATAGCTTTTATAACAACTGCGAATGCATGTATACACTTACAGCAGAGCATAAATAACAGATTTTATCACAGATGATAGGTGCTAGACATACAGTGATAAGTATACTGTGTTCATTTTTCATCATAATGTCATACAAACTGAACTTTCAAACATGAAGTATATTTTTTATATCATTTACTATAATAATGCATTATGACCATAAGATTTTTCCTAGTTGAATATAAAATTAAGGTATTATCAAGAGAATTAACAAACCTGTCTTGTAAGCTGATATTGTAGTTTCTCTAACTGACTCAGTTTATTTGAATACTGCTCAGACAGTGGCTGAGATGATGTCATGTGATCAGAATCCTCCTCCCTGATTGGTGGTTGTAAAATCCGCAGTGGTTGCTTATTACTTGATAATTTTGCAGGCTTATCAATGCCTTAAAGGAAAAAAGTAAATTTTCAAACAGAAAAAAATTCTTCATTGAAATAATGAAATATTTATTTGTTTTTGGACAACTTTCTTTTTGAATTGAAACAAACAAAAAAAAAATGAAAATAGAGCCTAAAACCTCACTAAAATGTCAAACAATGAAATATTTCCACAGACTTAAAGGAACTTCATTAACATGACTATCATAACAAAGCATTATAATCATGTTTTGGCAAATAAATTATTTACAATGTGAACATAAATGTAAAATATCTAACACACAATTTTATGCTTGGTAAGAAAGTAAATAAATAAAGAGGTGACTTAAGCATGATAACTAAAATGAACTTAAACTAATATAAATTTTGTAATCAGAATGAACATGAATCCTTAGTGAAGTGAATGTGAATGCAGCTAATAGTTGAGAACTATGTAATCATAAATAATGAATTTCAATTAAACAACTATAATTAATTTGCTTTCAATTTGAAATAAAATTAAAGTGTCTATATATTGAACAATTTATTATACTGATGATCATGACAAAAAAATCATTATCTATAAAACAAGTTAGAATGTTAGACTGCATACCAGAATTTTTCAGTTCAGATCTCAGTTTGTTGCCCATCTCAATTAACTGTTGTTTTTCTTTTGCTAATTCCATTATCTTTCTGGCAGCATTCCTGAGTTTTTGTTGCAGAGCTTGTACCTGAGAGCCCTTGTTTTGCCCATGTCTTCCATCATCATGCTCATTGGACATAAACTCAGCGCCTTGTTTCTTCAAACTCATGATTTCATCTTGAAGTTGTTGAATTAGCAATTCCTACCGAATATTAATAAATATTACAGAGATTGTTGAATAAAATGCAATGACATAACAAAATAAAAACTTTAGATAATGAATAAAAAGTAATTATACTTATCAACTTTACATAAAACATGTACTTATCTACATTATAATGATCCCTCTTCAACAACTATCAATCTAATCATGATTCTTTTTCTTGTTAGAGATCCTGTATGTTTTGTGATTGATATTGTAACTGTGTGTATACCACACTTGCAAAAAATTATATATGTATATAATTATGCAAACAAAACAATTTGCAAACATCGAATAATATGTAAAATGTGTACTGCAAATATTTGTGCACATTATATTTAATCAATAATTACATGCATTCATTTCTTATTGGAAAATTTGACTTAGAATTGATAGAAAATTAATTTCTTATTACCTCCCTTTATTTACATGAAATGTTAAATGCGGTAATATCTTTATAAATAATGCTTCTTGGAACTTACAATATTGACAAATCTTAATTTTAGCATCATATTTATGAAATAAAACCATGAAAAAAAAGTGTTACAGGATCTTTAAATTAAGGTGTGTCCTTCCATATTAATTAATTAAAGTGTTGAAATAAACTGATAAAATATAAGGCGTTGCTAAGTATTTTATCATTTTTATTTAACAAGTTTAATAATTCAATATGGACAAACACACATAAAAGATTTGTTTTATCACATAAACCAAAGAAGCCTTAAAATTATGCCAGTAGTAAACATGCCTTCCTTTTCAAACAATTTAGTCAAATAGTTATAACTATACAGCTGAAAATAAAACAGCAAAAAAAATGGTGTGCCACACTGTGATCTATTTTATGTGTCTTTATATAGAATAGCATATAGATACACTGTCCACAATATATCTATTATTTCATGTAAATAATTAATGATGAAATGTTAGCTTGAAAATATTATACATAGAATTGTGGCATCAAAACTCTGACAAACATTACGCTTGTGTTTAGGCAGACAGATTTGAAGCAAGATAAAATGTATGTGTCTACCAACTGTAAATCAGTGTTGCTGTGATAATTTCACATTTTCTTGGTGGAAATACATATAAAGGTATCTAGAATAATATTTAAATTGTTGGTGATTTATCAAAATATATATTTAATTGGACAGGAATTGCTTTGCATTAAGTATTAAATAAATCATTAATTTACATTTATATCGATACACTTCCAAAAAAAACGAAAGAAAAAAACAATCTATGTACTATTTTGTGCTTCTTCTTGACAAGGTATATACATGTACATTACATGCTGTATAAAATGAAGGTTTGAAATGGATTTAATTTGTTTAAATCATTTTAGTAAACAAACCTTAAAGATTGAGATATTAGTATATAACAATTCTTACTTGTGCACCAAAATTTATCCCAGGTCTTTTCTCAGCCAGTTGAATCTTTAAATTAGAAAGCTGAAAAAGAAAACAACACATACAGAACTGTAGAATCTATCTTTATATAAAACTTTACTAACCTCTTCTTATTTACTGAAAATTTTAGAATACTGTACTTACCATTAATACATGTAATACATTAGTCTATTGTTCATATAATAAATCTACAGGATAAATTGATAGCAACAAAACCTAGTACCTATTTAAAGCAAAAATATAATATGTGAAAGAATAATCATCTACATTACAATCTTACTAAGACTCATTATTCTACGTACTTCCTGACCAAGTGATGTAACTTCCATGTTTCGTTCCAGATTACTACGATAATATTCGTCCGCCTCTTTTCTTGTTTCTAGCAACTGAAGTTCTAGTTCTGAGACTTTCTGACGTAGACTGGTGACCTCTGTCTGTGACCTACGAGATGCAGCACCTAACTCATACTGTAACTGCTCCAGCTCAACTTGCTTCTCTCTTTGCTATATTATATACATAATTATATACATTATAACACTTTATACCTTGGACATATTAATCAATTCTGTATGTACTGCTATGAAAAACTTTTTTATTAATATACAGTAAAAACCCTGAAAACCAAACCCTCTGAAAACCTGAATCATCCAAAACCAAACGATTTTGAAAGTCCGTATTTTCTCCTTATAAATTCATCGAAAAAAAATCCTAAAAATTCCAGAACCTCTGAATTCCGAAAAACCGGACAATTTTCCATGGCTATTAATGTTAAACATGCATAAAACTCCTCTGAAAACCGAACAACATTTTTAAGTGTCAACTTTCTGTGTATTTGAATGTAGATTAAAACATAATCCCACCAGTTAATGGTCACCTGCGTTTTATCTATACAGGTGTTAAATTATAGCTCTTTCATCATAATTGTGTCTTTCCCTGTTTAATGTTTAAATTTGTTGTTTTTTTTTTATATATAAAATGTCGAAAAGAATTGGGAAAGTTTGTTAAATGAATCCTGTTTTACTTAAAATTTTGATCTTGTACCAATTAAAAGATATATTTCAGACAATGTGTTGTTTTAATTTCTAATTTTCTGAATTATATTTATAGATTTGCATAATATAATTACTCAAGACATATATTGCAAAATGAAATTCAAATATGACTTAGACAAAAGGGTTGGAAAGCAAATACAAAATGATTGAACAAAGTCATTGTTCAAAGACATCATAATTATCAATAAATAAAACCTGTGAAAACTCAGAATCCTCTGAAAACTAGACTTTTGGTCAAGTCTGGATAGGGTCCGGTTTTCAGAGATTTTACTATATCTACATGTATATACATGCATCTGCAATTGCACCTACCCCAGACATAATATTTTACAGACATAATGTCTTTGACACAAATAATTAACATGCTTTAACATAATTTTATCAGTCTCAGTGTATATAAACTATAAGTTACACATCCTGATTTTGTACATTTTACAACATACTCTGAAACACAAGTTCAGCATTTTCTTTATGAGGTATCAGTGGTCCAAATTTAGAAACATGTAACATCAAATGCAGCTGCCACTTTTTAATCCCTTTTCAATTTATAGTATTGTGTTTAAAGTTAATAAACTCACCTGTTTTTTAATGTTTTCTATATTTTTTTCTTGAAACAGAACATGTGCTTGTTGTTTCTTGAGCTGAGCAGAAAGATCCACCTTCTCCCCACGTAACCCACCTACAAACATGTTTACAAACATGTTATTACATGAAATTTGTATGTCAATATTTTAACATATGCAAGAGAAGATCAATCATAACAGGCCACTATAGTTCCTTGCTAAGAACAAACGAAAACACTAAAATCAAATGATTTGCTGTGAGGAAAAAACGAATTAATATAAACAATGTAATGGACCAATCAAAGAAAGCAGATAAATGAGATTTAAGAAGTTTAGGAATAATAGCAATAGTCATAGTGTAAATATCACAAAAATACAAGTAGTGATAATAAAACAGAAAGGCTGTTCTTTTACTGACAGCAATTTTGAAGGTATAAAATTATATAAATTCTAGCATGATACTCAAACACAACAATAAATTGATAAGGCAGTACATTCAGCTAAACTTAGTACAGTATTAACCAAAGGGACCCGGCACAGTGTTGGGATAGTGTAAAAAAAATTCTAGAAAAAAAATTATACTTTATATATAATATATATTATATATACAGTATAAATTTTTTTTAGAATTACTTTTTGACACTATCCCAACACTGTGCTGGGTCCCTGTGGTAAAAACCATAACCATGCCTAAGTTGTAACATGTTAATGTTTTAGTTTTAAAATATTTGTTTCAACTCATTTCTGATAAAAGCTTGAGACTTATTTAAACCATCTTCAATTCTGTTCCATAAAGTGACAAAAGAAAAGACAAAGTTGTGACCAAAGAAGGGATTGAACCCACAATCCTTGGCTTGTGAAGCAGACACCTATACCACTTAATTCACATTTCCCCTTTCTGCTGCTTTGAACCTATTGTTTATACATTTGAAAACGATAAATTATGCAGCTAACAGTAGATTGTCTTGTTTTGCTGCATAGGTTTGCAGGTTAATCTTGATTTATAGTTTGGCTGCAAGGATTTGCAGGTTTGTTTCGAGTTATTGTTATGGCATTAGAAAAAAAAAATTACCAATTATTTCATTCAAAGACTGTATATGGTTTTTCACAAGCATGTTATCTTTTACTTCTGTCAAAACCTCTTCTTCATTTCCTTGGACAGGTGGCGCTGCACGACCAAATCTACGAGATACGTCAGCATCCTGCTCTAACTCTCGATTTCTTTTCCTCAAATTTCTACATTCCTTCTCAAGGCCTGATACATAATCTAGAAAATAAATTCAATCAAAGCTTTGAAGCTTCAAAGGAATATCTGTTAGTCTTTTCTTTTGTATAGATGATTAATGATTAAACAAGAAAAACCTTGTATTTACATTCTTTTTTACTTCTATTGTTTTGCATGATAAATGTGAAGAATTATTTAGAAATTTGCAGAAATTTATAATGAATGGCTAAGCTTCCTGGTACAATGATTTTCAGACAATCAGGTTTCTAGGAGTTTCTTTCTCTCCATCAAGGTGGAAAGTTTTTATAATTCTTTACCTCAAAACATAAACTAACCAAACAACGCAAACACCATTGATTATCAAATCTTTTTTATCTTGTATTCTGTTACAAAACAAAACAACAACAGATTAATACAGTAGAACTTCTGTGAGTCGTACTCTGGTAGTCTCAATTTTCCCCTTATATATTCCTTATAAAAACCTATATACGAGTCGAAATTTTATGTGCGGAATATTTTTGATGTGTCAAACTTTTTTCATGGTCCATATAGACTAAATTGAGAACAATTTACCACAAATAAGTCGAAGTCCTTCGATTATTTTGACACCTGCAAGACATTTTTTCACACTTTTTCTGGGTGAGAAGATAATTTCAACTTATGTGACAGGTGTAAATAACACAGATGTGTGTTCTAATAGCCTTTGTGTGCGCTATGTATTAATGTGTGATAAAATGCTTTAATTATTACCAATCAAATTGCCGATGTGGTATTTGAAAGTAAACAGTAACAACTACTTTCATTTGTGAACTTCTGTGACGAGGTGCCGCATGATAATCACAAGAGATATATTTACTATATGTTGGTTTAGTTATCGCCATTTGCTTTTGTTATGCCTTTTGTAACTTGCTTGTAAACTTCAGAAGCTCGGAATATTGTCGTGAAATTGAGACCAATTCATGAGTCAAAGTCCTGATACGTCCAAATTTTTATGCAAATCCCTTCAGCTTCGACTAACCTTAGTTCTACTGTACTTCAATAGTTCTTAATCTTAGTTATATATCAAAACATGTTGTCTAAGTATCTGTTGTGATATTTGGATAGGTTAAACATAAAGCAACAAACTGGATATTTCAAACATACCTTCAGAACAGCCTTTATCCTTCTCTATCTCTACATTACTAACAGGTATATCATGTCCTAACTGTTCCATTTGACTTCTCATCTCACGTATAACCATCTATTTTAAATCATTTAAATAATAACAATTATATACACATATCTATATAAAATGCTTCAGAATGATATACATAAATAAAAAACTGGGCAAAATTCTAAAATCTGATGTTTGAATTTTTTTTATTTCAGTGGTTATGAATTAGTATGTATCAATAAATGGCTATAGAAATTTTTCATTGTTAACATGCATAACTGCATTATCAAATGAAATCCTGGCATTATCATTTTACCTTTAAGTTTTCATTTTGTTCACGCAGTTGTTGCATCTCTTCATCTGTTGCCATTGACATTTCTTCTATATCAATCTGTAAATGTATACAACAATCATAAAAATTGATTTTTTGTTTTTGAAAACTATCCTCTAAATAACAATGTGTTCTTGAATAGAAAGAAAATTTATCACAAATACAACAACATCAATTCCAACATTTTTGTGCTTTTATAGTCTAAGAATATGGTTTTCAAAACTTACATATACATGCATATAAATTAAATTTGTATCACTATGACAAGAGAGAGCACCTGCACTGGAGATATCATAACATGAATGGCAGCTGTATGATGTCTTTAAAAAACAAAGTTAGACCCTTTTTGTTACAGAAGGAAAACTATTCTAAAAATAAACTATAATAGTACATATAACTTGACACATTTATATTCAATTACACACATTCTTATCTACAGTCTGAAGTAGAAATTGAATGGAATGTTAAAGGAACATCTACACTAGTAAGATTTACTTACTTTGATGTTTTTATCTACTTGGATACCATGCCTTTTTAAAGTTTCAAATGCTTGTTGTCTATCTGTCTTTAACACCTTTATGATAGCATCTCTCTGTTGTAATTCTCTCTGTTTCTCCTTTACTGTAGCTTGTGCCTTGTAAACAAATGTTCCATTTAATACAATAATATAATGAGAGTTAGATGTTCACATCATTTTTTAAACAAAAAACAAACAAAAAAGTTTTGCTGGTAGGACAGCATGTTGGACTATTCTTATTGCTTGATGGTAAAATAAGATATTGTATAATTTTCTAAGTTCAAAAAGGGCTATCATTCTGTCAAAGTCCATGTTAGAGTTATGGCCCTTGGATAGTGACTTCCTTTTATGCTCCTACATAGGTGTGGGATTTTGTTGATACCAACTTGCACGCAAAAACCTAACCTAAATGTGAATACAACATGGACGACTGGTGAGTGTAATAGCTCCCCCTTTTCTTTGAATAGTCAAGCCAACAAATATTCACCGTTTGAGAAAAGTAAAGCATCTTGGTATAACAAAGTTTTAGTAAAATTTTAATGGAAATTTTCCACAAAATGTTTTAAAGATAATTCTAAACAATAATTTCTAAGCTAACAAACATTTTCATTTAGTCAAATAAAATGCTGAAACTTATATAATTTTCTTAAATTTCATGAATTTGAAATTCTTAACTTTACAAACTTTATAAAAAGTTTGAGTATACCTCATCCCTGGCTCTTGTTAATTTTTTCACCAGATCCTCCGACCTTTCATACTGCTGACGTTCTAAATCTTCGTACCTCCTCTGCCAGTCAAGTTCCATCTGAGCTTTACTCCGCTCTAGTGAAGCTTCTCTCTCCACTGAACAGCTTAATTCCTTCTTATATCTATAACAGTACATACTTGTATAAACTATCATAGACATAAAGGTATAATTTTTATTATCAAACAGATATTAATTCCAAATCAACAGAATTATTCAACGAAGCAGAATTAATTTTATAAAAAAAATTTGAAAGAAAGTAATGTAAAATCAAATTTCCTTAAAAAGGAAAATGCCTTGTATTAATGGATATTACATCAAGTAAACTGTCAAACCTTTCTATATCTTCCTTCTTTTGAATGATTTCTAATCTCAATTTTTCCTCGGTCTCTCTCATGTTCTGTAGCTCTATATCCTTACCCACCTGGTTCCTCGACACCTGTACTATCTGTTTGTCCCATTTATCCTTCAACTCCTGCGACTGAGCTTGAAGTCTGCAAACAAATTAAAATAACACTTACTTTTGCTTCTACATAAAATGGACACCAAAACAATGTCTTCTAACAAAACATTACAAAAGTTTGTTCATTTAATAAAAAAAGTGTATCAAATAACAAAATAAATATATAAGGGGGTGATCCCTTAGAAGCATTAAAAACAACAACATACGACAATTCCAGACTTGGTTTGATTTAGTCTGTACAAATAATACAACACAACTCATGCTTGCCATAACTCATAATGAATTCAATCATCCTTTTTAAGGCCATTAAACTATTACCTTTAATCACAACTGTCTCTTTTAAAGTTATTAAATCTTTACTGCAATATGTTTTCTGTTATTAAATGTTTTAACTAGTGACTAGTGTTGGAAAATCAAACATATTTAACCTTAGCTGCAGTACATTTTCTGTCATAAAATGTTTTACCTAGTGTTGGAAAATCAAAGTGAAATCACTAGTCATTATCAAATTGAATCTGAAGGATATTATCAATTGTAGCCATCAATTGTTAAAGATTTTATACCAAGTTTTTTGATCACTTTTCACACAAACTTAGAAGAAATAGTTTTAATCTTCCATTATTGCAACCTCATATATGCTCTACAAACTGCTTGTAAATACATTGACTGAAATATGTTTTGTGGAAATAAAGTTCTCAGCAAAACTGTAAAACATCTCAATGCCCAAATTGTGAGACACTCACAAAATTATGTAATGACTTTATGCAACTATCAATGCTTCAGATACACTATCATTTGTAAATGATTTAGGACTCATAACAACAATTCTTTTACAGATGTTGACTACTGGGAAATCACTACATGTAGTTCTAATATAATTCCTGGTGATATACAAAACCAGTATGTAAAGTTCAGTTCAAATTGTTTGGCCTTCATTGCCAAAAGATTCAAATTATTGACTAAAAATCCACCAGGAACTTTGGATTCTTTTATGTGAGGAAACTATCCAGTTAAGCTAGCTTTCAGAAGGTCAGTGGTTCTCTGCAGGTGCCTATAATAATGCATACAAAGGCACATTTCTACAAGGAAAGTTGTGAATTGGCTTTAATGACCTTAATAGTTTCTGTATAACTTAAAAACACCACCAAACAGACTACAGTAGTATGGCCCTACTTTTCAATGTATGAATTTTTCTCCTTCTCTAAGTCTTGTCTTGCCCACTGTAATTTTCTGATCTCTACATTAGCATCCTCTAATTTAGAAGTGAGGTCTCTAATCTCTTTCTGTAACTCACTCTCCCTGTCTGCTATTGCTTCTTTAGCTGTTGAGAGAGCTGCTTCTTTTTCTCGGCAATATTTGTCCATTTCTGAATGTCTGTAGATATATAAAGATAAATTACTTCAAATTAAGCTTACAAATAGAAAATCTACCTAGCTATTTCTGTAAGCTACTTATCACATTCTTAAACGCACACATTCAAAGATTATCAATATTCTAAGTTTTATATGTACAACAACAACACTATTAATTTTAAGTCTAAAATAGACATGAATGTGTAAGTTATGTTTCCATTACATACACTAGTTGTATGACTCAAAATTGCCACATAGATGCGCAACTTTTGTCAGGTAAAAAGATGCATCCTCATCAGCTTAAGGTTTCATACTGCTGACATCAACTTAACTTCCCCTAGCTTTTATTTATTCAAAACCAGCTAGAGAAATTAAATTCTTTCCTATGATAACACTCTTCACATAGTACATTGTATGTTAGTTGCTCTAGAAAGGTGCCAACATGAGCTTTATAATTATAATGTGCAGATACATTGTAACTGTGATTTGACATCAATTAACTACAAAAAAGACATAAGACCAAACAATAGTTAGATAACTAATAATTTAATGTAAACTATGTGCTGGTTATTGATGCAAAATTATTTAAGTGCCTGAAGTATTAGATTATACTTACTTCCTCTCAAAATCTTCCTGTAATCGTTTCATTGCAGATTCAGTTTGTTGTACTTGGTTTTCAAGGTCAGAGATACTAAAGTTAGAAATATAAAACATAATAAAACATTTCTTAAATATTGGATAAAACTCTTTTTTGCCATAAAATATATTTAAAAATTCTGCTGAAGTTACTATCAATTAAGGAAATTTGTTAATCGAGGACCTATTAGTTGTTTTTTTTAAGTTTTCTGCAAATTGATTTTCTATTCAGGAGAGAAAAAACATGCCAATATCTCTTCATCATACATAAAAACAATTTCTTGAAATATTTTCAATACAGTATTACTGCAAAGGCAGAGCAATATTATATATGGATGTATAATAACAATTATAATGTTTAACAGAATCAAAAGTCTAATCCTTCTCCTGAAAATAAGTTAAACATACTTTGCATCTTTCATAGCTCTCATGTCCTGTAACTCCCAGTCTTTTTCTTTCAGTTTTTTCTCTAAAGCACGATGATTATTTTCAACATGCTCAAACTCTTGACTGTTCTTTTCCTGGGCAGAGCGCACCAAGTCTAGCTCCTTGCTTAGTAACTTAGCCTAATAATATCAAAATAATTAAGGAATTGCTAAAGATCAGAGGCTAAAATATAATCAAAATTAGAATAATTAATGTAAATTCTATACAACTGATGAAATAATAACTGATACTCAGTGTCAGAATGAAAAACAGCTTTAAGATTGGTGAGTATTATTTTATTAATGTTTAATTTTGTTTGGTAAAACAACATATCCTGTTATATGGTAGTTTACATGACAATGACACAGTGAAATGTTGAAACAGAAAGTCACTATTGGGCTTTCAAGTGACAGTCTGCCCTGTTGACAGTATCAATGTCGCATTTTGATATATTATATTCATATATTATAAAACTGTGATGCCATTGAGGGGAAGAATTCTTCAGCTACTAAGCTACTATTCCAAATCATATAATTTAAAAGGTTTTGATATATATATATTTATGACATCATCACCTTTTCTGACAAATAACAAGAGCTGTCGGTAGGACAGCATGCTCGACTATTCTAAGTGCTTGATAGTAAAAGAGCCTTGATAATGTTAAATTTTTTAAGTTCACAAAAGGGCTAATTTCTTTTGATAAATTCATGTTATAGGCCTTAGAGAGAGTCTAATTATACAGTATTGGCTTGACTATTCGGAAGGTATGAATACATAAATTTGACAGAAAAGGTACAAAGGCTTGTTATTAAGATGTTTTATCAAATAAATCACTGCTTTATTATTATGAATGCATAAAATTGTCCCAAAAAAGGCACAAACCCTTCAGTAGTTATTGAGATAACAGCTTACAAGCAAAACTTTACCATTAATTTCTAAGTTGAAAAAGGGAAGAAAAATCAGCCTAAATGCAAGATAGAACTAGAGGATGCTTTTAAAAAAAAGCGCATGTCTCCCCCACTGCTGAGAATAACTGTGAATGGAAACAGGAATGGAAATGAAGAAATTGACCAACGGTCACTGTGACCTTGACCTTTGACCTACTGACCCCAAAAACAATAGGGATCATCTGCTCTATAAGACCAATCATCCTATGAAGTTTGAGGGCTGTAGGTCCAAAGGAACTCTAGTTATCATCCGGAAACGAGAAATTGACCAACGGTCACTGTGACCTTGACCTTGAACTACTGACCCCAAAAACAATAGGGATCATCTGCTCAATAAGACCAATCATCCTATGAAGTTTGAGGTCTGTAGGTCTAAAGGAACTCTAGTTATCATCCGGAAAGAGAAATTGACCAACGGTCAGTGTGACCTTGACCTTTGACCTACTGACCCCAAAAACAATAGGGATCATCAGCTCTATAAGACCAATCATCCTATGAAGTTTGAGGGCTGTAGGTCAAAAGGAACTCTAGTTATCATCCGGAAACGAGAAATTGACCAACGGTCACTGTGACCTTGACCTTTGACCTACTGACCCCAAAAACAATAGGGATCATCTGCTCTATAAGACCAATCATCCTATGAAGTTTGAGGGCTGTAGGTCAAAAGGAACTCTAGTTATCATCCGGAAACGAGAAATTGACCAACGGTCACTGTGACCTTGACCTTTGAACTACTGACCCCAAAAACAATAGGGATCATCTGCTCAATAAGACCAATCATCCTATGAAGTTTGAGGTCTGTAGGTCTAAAGGAACTCTAGTTATCATCCGGAAACGAGAAATTGACCAACGGTCAGTGTGACCTTGACCTTTGACCTACTGACCCCAAAAACAATAGGGATCATCAGCTCTATAAGACCAATCATCCTATGAAGTTTGAGGGCTGTAGGTCAAAAGGAACTCTAGTTATCATCCGGAAACGAGAAATTGACCAACGGTCACTGTGACCTTGACCTTTGAACTACTGACCCCAAAAACAATAGGGATCATCTGCTCAATAAGACCATTCATCCTATGAAGTTTGAGAGCTGTAGGTCAAAAAGAACTCTAGTTATCGTCCGGAAACGAAGAATGGACGGACGGACGGACTGACGGACGGACTGACGGACGGACGGACGGACAGGGCAAAAACAATATGTCTCCCCCCGAGGTGGGGGAGACATAATTATGGATCTTTGTCAGTGACCTACAATTATGACCCTAAATGCATATGTGAATTTTTTTTAAATAAATACCTTTAATAGTTATTGAGATATGTAAAACTTGCATGTAAAAATTAACCAAGAGACTAAGTAGAAAAGGGGATATGAATCAGCCTTAATGCAAGATAGAGTTATGGAACTTGGTCAGTGACATACAATTATAACCCTCCAATTATGACCCTAAGTGCATGTGTAAAGTTTCAAGTAAATATCTTTGAAGACCTTTAACCAAAATTTCTAAGTTTCAAAGGGGCAAATAATTCTGCAAATATTGCAAGCAGAGTTATGCAATTTTGCAAACTGATGTACATTGTTACTATAAACAAGAGCTGTCAGAAGGACAGCGCGCTCGACTTTTTTAGTGCTTGCCTATAAAACAAAACTTTGACAGTTAAGGGCACACAAGACTTTAACTAGGAATTTCTAAGTACAAATCAAGAAACATTTTCACAGAGTTATCTTCTCTTGCTTACAGATAGGTCTCATGATGGCACATAAGAACTCCAACTTCCAAAGTAATATCTCAAATGGTTAAGTCAACAAGTGGACAAGAATGAAAATTTTAACTGAGTTTCTAAGTCAAAAAGGGCCATAATTCAAATAAAATCCTTAACAGAATTACCTTCTCCTGCCCATGTTTTGGGACCATGATGGTAAACAAGTATTCCAACTTTCAATTTAATATCTCAACCAGTTCAGTCAAAAAGTTGACTGGTACAAAAAAGTTAACCAAGATTCTAAGTCGATAAAAGGCCTTAATTTTTAAAACAAATCCCTGACAGAGTTACCTTCTCTTGCGTACAGATGGGGGTAATGATGTGAAATAGCATTAAAAGTTTCAAAGCAATATCTCAAAGGGTTAAGGCAATAAGTGGATTTTACCCATATTCAATGTATTTTCTAAGTCAAAAAGGGGCATAATTCTGTCAAAAACCTTGACAGAGTTATGTCCTCTTGTCTGTTGATGAAGGTCGTGATGGTAAACAAGTATGGTCAGTTTCAAAGCAATACCTCCAATGGTTTTGAAATAAAGTGAGGTGGTACAAAAAACTTAACCAAGCTCAATACACTTTCTAAGTCAAAAAAGGGCCATAATTCTGTCAAAAACCTTGACAGAGTTATGTACTCTTGTCTGTAGATGGAGGTTATGATGGTGAACAAGTATGGTAAGTTTCAAAGCCATACTTGTAATACTTCTGAAATAAAGTGGGGTGGTACGAAAAACTTAACCAAGGTGTGACGCCAACGCTAACGCCGACGCCGACGCCGGGGCGAGTAGGATAGCTCCCCTTTTCATAGAAAAGTCGAGCTAAAAAGTATTGTAAATTTCAATTGAATATCTCAAGCAATAATTGAGATATTTGACTTTACAAAAAAACTTTAACCAAAATTTCTAAGTTTCAAAGGGGCATAATTCTGTCAATATTGTAGGCAGAGTTATCCAACTTGTCAATCTGATGTACCTTGTTACTATAAATAAGTATTGTAAGTTTCAATTGAATATCTAAAGCAATAATTGAGATATTTGACTTTAAAAAAAACTTTAACCAAAATTTCTAAGTTAAAAAGGGGCATAATTCTGTCAATATTGTAGGCAGAGTTATCCAACTTGTCAATCTGATGAACCTTGTTACTATAAATAAGTATTGTAAGTTTCAATTGAATATCTCAAGTAATAATTGAGATATTTGACTTTACAAAAAACTTTAACCAACGCAGACACCGATGCGGACGCTGACCCAGACGCCGGGGCGACTACAATAGCTCTCATATTCTTCGAATAGTCGAGCTAAAAAGAACACCTGTTGACTGTTTTGGGTGGTTATTGTTTGGACCACCTTAAAACTAAGAATACTTTTATTACAAACTAGTCTTACCTTTAACTCATGTTCCAGAACTTTTGCACTCATTTCATCAGCTTGAATTCTAAATTCATGCTCCCTTTTCCTCATGGCCTCTTCGAAACCTGAAATTATGTAAAAAGTAACTTCAATTTTCATAGATTTTAATAATTAATCCTTTCAAGCATTTCAAAATTTGGGTGTATCAAATAAATAATAAAAACAGATATGTTCCTATCAAAACAGTATTGCCATTCACCTTCAAACTTCAGTTTACTAAAAGCACATCAGGTTAGAATAGAAAATAATTATCATATGAAAGGTGATCTAACAACTACTGTACATACTGAGATAATTTTACACAGCATTTATACTCTGTTCATGTTGTCTTTAATTATGTAAGCTGTTTTCTTTGTTTGGTTTGTTTTTATGTCAATTTTAACATAGTTTTGTCATATCTTGACTGCTATTCTTCCAAACCAACTTTCCTTGATAACTAACAAGTAAATACTTATTTCCCAACAAGTGACCAACTACTTATCTAACATGATGACAGAATCAGCTGTGTGAGACAAATGACCATTAAACTGGCACTCTATGTGTGAAATATATTGTCACAGAGATATTTAGCCTTGAGTCTTGGGTTACAAACCTGATGCTCCCCTAATGAGCAAAGCAGGCAGACTCAAACAAGTAAAAACACATTATGTTCCATACAATGACAGATAACATATAACTTATTCATTTTACAAATCTTTAAATTTTACCTGAATTTCAAACCATTTTCATAAAAACTTTACCTAAAGTTAGCTCCCTTTTCTGAGCATCCATTTCTTCCTCCAGCTGGGTGAGTTGTCGCTGAAGTTTACGCTTGAATGATTCAAACTCTTTTCTTTCTTCCTGAATTTCACCATCTTTTGTGCTGAAAAGTTGCATTTACATATTGACAAATATTTCACACTTGAGTCAGTTCAAAAGAACTACACTTATCTAATTTGGTGGACAATCTCTTTATAGATGATTAATTTGGCTGAAAATGAGCAAAAGCGAAATATTTCACTAATATTGAACAAAATAAACAAAAACAGAATGGTGGTCTTTCGTAAGTGGTTTCCTACATAAACTGGTCTTAATGTAATGACAGTCTTTAAGTTTAATAAACAAAATGTATAATTTTGTGGGTTTTAATCTATGGTACACCTGCATTAAGTGAGAAATTTCGAAACTTATCTAAATGAATGAATTTCATTGCAGAGGAATTTAGGTTTTTGCATATACTCAAGTACATAATCCATTGATCTAAGGGTATTTACTTTAATGATAAGTAAATATGCCAATTGATATCTAGAAGTTTAATCCAGTTTATGTTTATGTTTTTGAATTACTTTAATGTCAAATGATATTATTTTCACAATTAACAATAACAAAAGTAGAACTATCTGACAGCATATTTACTATTCACAGTGCTTGTCAGTAAGAAAAGGGGCATAACTCTATAAAGATGTAACTCAGAAATATGGGACTTGTGCTAGTCACAGATATCAAGTATGTGAAGTTTTTAGCCTTTGCCACCAGTATAAAGCCAGGCTAGAGTGCACATTCATGCTGTCTCATCAGGCTCTATACTGTTTTGCTAAATAACTTAAAATTTTCATCTTGATATCCCCAAAATTGATAATGGACAAGTTCAAAAATGGAAGCTGCAGAAATACATTTGAGAAATAGTTTAGGGTTAAACTGTTTGTTATAACAACCCATATAAAAGTTCATTACTTTCTATAGGAATCAATTTCAGCCTGTTTTTCACGTAGTCTGGACTGGTAATGAAGTTGTAATTCCTCTCGTGATTTGATCTCACAATTGACTTGTGTCTTTAACTCATCTACATGTATCTTACACTCACTGACCTCTGCATTCTTCATGTTCAGTTGAGCTTTTATGTCTGTAATAAGATTAAGAATATTAAGCTTGAGATAAAATGGTAGACTAAGGATCTTTTTTTTACATATTTTTTTTGCACAATCAATGCCTTTCTGATATAAAGCCACATGTGCTTAAAAATATTAGGATTATATGAAAAAGAATCTTATATAACCATGACAATTAATGCAGGGGTGGACATAAAGTTTAATTGACAAACAGCTCACGGCAAAATTAACACTTAACATAAAAAATATATTGACCAATGACATTTATATTAAGCAAAGCATCTGAACCCTCAGTACTTTATTAGAATACTCTTACATTACTACCCCTTCATGCTTTGTTTAAAGTTCTGGTCTTATAGTCTGATGGCTTATTTTAATGATATAATTCACATAAATAAGAATGATCATACCAGAGAAAGTAGCATCATATCTGTCTAATTCTTGATCTCTCTGTTCCAGCAGCTTGAGGTTATACTTAAAATCTTCCTTTAATTTATGAAACTTCTCCCTTTCTTCAGTCAGTTGTTTGTCTTTCTCCTGGCAGGCATGCTCAAGAGCATTTATTCTACAGGGAAAAACAATCACTTCAATACTTGAATTTGATAATATACATATAACAAACTTTCATCTTCAAGACACTGTGATATATCTCTAAAAATTGATACTATTATATCTAGATGCTATGTAGTATTATATGCAAAATTTATAGGAAGTCACCATGAACGTTTACAATGTTTATGTGATTTTAAAGTACAACCTTATATTCTGATTTCAGTCATTAAAAAAAGCACAGCTGACACTTATAAGTTAACAGACACATTCCTGGTAAAAAAAAAACATATTACAGGTAAAATATATTCAGCTTTTAAATTTATAATCATGCATATAATTTATGCACCTTTGCTCTGTAACCTGTTTCCATTCCTTCTCTTTTTGTGCAGCCACTTCCCGCCAATGATCAGCTTCATTTGTTCCGCCATCCATGTTTAAAAATATCTATTTTACCAAACCTGAAATGAAGCAAAATGTCATACCTGAATTCATTAAAATACAAAAAGTCATTTGAAAGAATGTTTATTTAAAGTTCTAGTTTTACTTCAAATTTACGTTTTGAGAGTCCCAAGGATTCCGGTTTCTTTATGTTTTGAGTCCCATACAACAAAACATGAGTCCAGCAATGAAAAACTCCATTAAACTATTTTCACCAAACAACAAATGTGCATAATTATGTTTCAAGTCAATCATTTTAAAACAGTTTTTGTAGATCAATCATCTTTCTTTTTTTAGGGGATGCCTCCAGACTCATAATTATGAAAACTCATGAAAATGTATTAAAAATACAATTACATGTATTGTTAAGTGAACAAAGAAAGTAATTCACACATTGCAAACAGCACTTACAGTTACAATCCACAAGCTTAAGGTCTTAAGTGTGCCCGTCTTTATAGTGTATTACATCATTTGAGGTCTTGCATGTATGTACTGGCATACGAGCAGTTCCCATACAAAAACTGTAATTACTTAAAAATATTTTTATTATGCTCACTAACCAAAAAGTTTATTGTTACACATCAATATTCGGCATGTCACACAAATTATGGTAATTCCATTATGTTCTAAACATAGAATAACCCTTGAATATGAGGCCTGATATAGGGTACCAAAATTATCCATTATTTTGTATAAAAAGAAGTAGTTCCCATACATTAAAAATAACCCATTACAGTGGACTCTCGTTATCTTGAAGTCATCGGGACCGTCCAAAAAATATCGAGATAACGAAATGTCGAGATAAACATATTAGGGTTTGAATAAGGCAGAAACTGATTTTTTACAAAAGACATGTGCATACCTTATGTCAAATAAACTATGATATCCCCATGTCTTGTTTTCATAGGCCTAGTCAATATTTAACAAAGTAACATAAGCGGATGTTTACCAGCGTTAAAACGGGTGTCTGTGATAAAAACACATAGTGAGGTTTACTCAGTAATACACCAATATAGTGAAATCATTTGTTTTCAGGGTGGTTGATCCGGACATCCTCCCGGGTTAGATATTGGGTCTTTCTCGAGATTGTTCGACCGCTGATTCATTTGGTGGTGATGTTGTTAAACAATATTGCAACGATAGCGTTTCTATACTTTCACTATTTCATTTACATTTAAAGTCGTAATGAATTGATACAGTGTTCGAATATTTATAAAGAACGTAAAATTCACTCATTTTGGACATAAGTCAATCAATATGCTAAATAAATTAACTTTTATAAAAACAGCTAAACTTGTTACAAACATAATCATTATTATGACACGCACTATTGAGCAATTATCGTCTATAGTTTTTGTTTTTCACACGTCTGAAGGGAACAGATGAAAGAAAACTTTTAGTCGAGATAAACAAAGGATAATAGTGTGAAAATAACTGTTGGGGCTGAAATTTTACATCGAGATACTGAAAATATCAAAATAAAAATATCGAGATAAACAAATATTTCCAATATAGATAAAGAAGGAAGAAAATAGGGACTTTCAAAATTTCATCGAGATAACGAAATATCGAGAAAAGCGATGTCGAGATAACGATAGTTGACTGTATAAGTATACAATGTTGTTATATCAGACCTATTTTTCAATTATAATTTTTAAAGAGACCATTTTCCTAGAGGTACCGTTACCCAAACCCATTCACATACAATGATGTGCTTGTTTGCATGATATTTTACTTATTCAAGTCATAAAATTATTTAATATTGTATTAGTAACACAGGTAAAAATTCTGATAATTAAACAGGTTTTCATCACATTGACCACTTACCTGTACACAGGCAGTATAAGTGGAAAATGCTTTGGCAGGCCTCATATGTCAGTAATGTTGTGCATGCACACAAGGATGGAAATCCCCAATGCTTATAAGGTCACGTTTTCACAACGCAAAAGTGAAAGTGATTTAAAATGAAACAACGCACAGGTGAAAGTGATTTAAAATGAAAACTTTTTATAATTATACGTATTGCCGAACTGACATCTAGATTTTGTCTTTTCATTCATCTGCTTGATTTGATATCAATTTTAAAGAATTAGCAAGTATAAATCAAGTGTTTAAACCAAAAATACGGGTACTGATTCTATACGGGAACTGCTCGAATGCCAGTAACTCTGAATTGTTTTGGCCAACATCAGTCGGTGTAACTGATGTTTCACAGTGAAATAGACATTTTTCTAACAATATCAATATTTTGTTACTAGAATTTAGAACGATGTTGAAATACTTGTTTCATTAAATAAATATTATTATGAATATGATTAGCTATGTGCGAGAATAATTTAAAACTGGATTAAAATTTAAATTCTTAGTAACAACCACATGCATGTTTTGGCTTGCATTCTCATAATGGAATATGTCCAAAGGAGTAACTGTTTTTATCAAAGAAATTAAGTAAGAATCTATAATACGTGATAAGTTGATAGTATTTCCTATCCAACTTTATCCATATCCGAAACGCGTTTACTTAAAACAATAAACGCATCTATTTTACATCTATAGCAAATAATAGAATAACCACGAAAACACAAGCGTTTACTTACACTTTGCCGACAATGTGTGAAAATTACTCCATACAAATATGGGTATCTGGAATATTTTACAATTAAATTCAATGTTCTTGCTAAAACTTGCAGTATGAAGCCATTTGTAAACAACGTCAAAAGGAGGATTCGATATGAACTAGGGTTTAAAAAGAAAAAGAAAACCGGGATCCGGGATTGTATTAGATGTAATTGACCACATGTCATACGTATCAATTAGATCCAATCCTGTATTTTGTTACAGATGTTATTCATGAAAGAGTTTTTCAATAAAAGTGAAATAGACTTGCATGTTTTTTTACAGACTTTCAATAAAGTATGATGGTTTTCAGTTATTTCTATTTAATAAAATACAGTATATTACCTAAAGTATTTGCACAAAAAATTAGACATTACAATTATAGCGAAATAAGTTTTCAAATTAAATATTTTAATTTCGTATTTTAGACAATCATGTTTAAATGGTAACGAAACTGGACTCGTATTAGATATACATCTACATTTACATCGTACGTCGGCGCAATCACACTTGATTATAACGCGACGGTTGGTGCTAGGTCAAGATAAAGAAATATACATGAAATGATAGAAAGTTAGTCAAAAGAAATAGATATAGACAAAAGGTCTGGCCAGCTACATTTTCGCCTCTTCAACCCAATCCTCTCCGGTTACGGTGGCCGCGGCCGGCACAGCCTTGGATATCACTAGTGGGTACTTGTAGCTGGGCTCCTAATGGCGGATTAGAATGTGAGTGATGATAACCCCTGCTTGAAGGATACTAAGTCAGGGGCCTCTGCAACGGGGGCAGGTAGGCTGTTACAGGCTGTGGCTGTACGAGTCAAAAAGGAGTTCGTGTAGTACGATGTAGAAGTGGAACTTCTTTGAGTGGTCACTTCTAGTGCGGCTCGGGGCAGGGGTGAGGTAATCGCTGACTGGTATGTCCACAAGGTCATTGGTGATCTTAAACATCATGGTCAGTTGGGATTTGGTCCGTCGTGACTCTAATGTCTCCCACCCAAGTGTTGGATCATGGAGGATACGCTGCTGGTGTTGTGGTAACGGTTCGTCACATATCTTGCAGCTCTCCTCTGGACCATCTCGAGCTTGCGTGTAAGGTGGAGCAATATTCAAGGCCTGGTCGCACGAGTGACATGTAAGCTGTACTCTTGACCTGTTCATTGCTGATGCGCAGGTTGCGTCGAAGGAAGCCGAGTGTGCTGTTGCCATTCTTCACAATCTTGTCAACGTGTTGGTTCCAGGAGAGGTTTCCAGACATATGGACTCCGAGGTACTTGGTTGTCGAGTCCATCTCGATTGTGTGGCCCTTCAAGGAGTACGGATATATGATGGGGTTCCTCTTTCTGTGGACCCTGATTATGCTGCATTTCTCTGGGTGGAAACTCATGCCCCAGCGTTTCTCCCACAAATGCCAAAATGTGGCAGTCCTCTTCAATGGCGATTTTCCGGTATACCACATAGTCGACCGCAAAGAGCCTGGCCTTGGACGTGACATGAAGTGGCAGGTCGTTGATGAAGACCAGGAAGAGTATGGGTCCGAGCACGCTTGTTTGGGGGGACTCCGCTGATAACTGGTGCTGGGTCGCACGTTGCTCCAACAACGACTACGCGCTGATAGCGGCCAGTGAGAAATGCCTCAATCCACTTCAGGGTATGGTTTCTAATGCAATAATGATGAAGCTTGGCTTACATTAAATATACGATCCTGGGAAATAACACGGGAATAGACTATATGCAATATATTTCAAAAGGTTGTTTAACAATTATGTTATGCATACTGAACTACCTAATATTTTAACGTATATTTTAAATATTTTAACTTTTCATCGCCCAAAATTACGACAAATATCAATACAATACACAGTGGCCGATTCAGGCCCGGTTTCAGGGCTGCAGCCCGAGCTCAGCCCAAAGATACGCTAACTATTTGGGATGGAATATTTTCATGACATCTTGTTTTGCTTTATTGACAGTATACTAGATTAACCTGATTGATTTTCCATACGTTTTATAAAATAATAATAACATGTACATGCAGTAGCAAATATATGCTATACACATTACAATATAATTTAGTTTCTTTGTTGTGTTTTTTTTTCTTTTTCTTCTTTTTTTTTATTTGCTTTTTATTAAGTCAGCATTTTCACTATATGTCTAAATTGTTCGCAACTCAAAACAATAATCTAAATAGTTTACTTATTTACGTTAAATTTTCAAATGATTTTAAGAACAAAAAATATATTTTTTTTTATTTCAAATTTTAAGATTTAGTTAAAAGAATATGTGAATGTGAATTTGATTTATTTTTATAACCCCCCGCCGATGGAATCGGGAGGGAAAAATTGTTTTGTCATTATCCGTCTGTCCTTCTGTCCACCCGTCCGTCCGAATTTCGCTTCCGCGCTATTTCTCAGCAACTGCTGGCTGGAATTCAACAAAACTTTATGGAAACCACCAATACCAATAGAAGATGTGCATATTGTCACCTTGCTCCGGCCAGACTCTTCAAAACAGAGTAATAGCCCCTGATTAGTTATGCAGTATGCATATCTAGAGCGATAATCATTTACGCGCAAGAACTCTGCAACTACTGGCTGGAATTCAATGTAACTTTATGAGAACCATCAACATGTCCGTTGCGCCCGCCGCATATTTTAGTGGTATCGGATCTCGGATGCCGGGATTTTCCTGGTGGGAGGGGAAATCCCGGGAACGCACAAGAAAAGCCAGGACCCGGGATCGTATAAAACATATAGCAATCCCGGGAATTGACCACCTTCTCTCGGTGTATAATTATTATATTATTATTATCATTTGAATGTTTTTGTAGAGATTTCTGAATAATTTTGATTTGTAGTAGTTATAAAAAATCTTTAAAAATAGCGTATTTTTTTTATTTTTAACGTTCATTACATACAATAAAAAATAAAAACTTAACATTACGACAATAATCAACACAAATATAGTTTATTAGTTTTCCCTCTATATCTAATACGATCCCGGATCCCGGGCGTCTCGGATCCCGGGATTTTTCGCCCCCACCGATTCTAATGTAGTTCAATCGAAATTAACCAAAGTTCCTAAAAAAAGCAACTTACTAGGCCCACATTTTTATTTCGGAAAGTAAGTGTTCATGGTAAATGTCAATTGAGTTAAGAGTTTTATTACAATAAGTTTATTATATGTAAAAAAATTGTGAAAAAATTGTTTGTTAGAATTATCTAGATAGAAATATCTAGATATTTTTTCGCGTGCTGAACATCAATATGGGCCGCTTCCCATAAATTAAACTGTTAAATTTTGACTAAAACTAAACAGTTTTGAACAATGACATATTGTCTGGCTATAATGTATTGAAGTTTGTCCTCAAAATTCTTAAGAGTTTCAGACCAAGCTATCCGATAAATTGAATTCTGAGCCCTATTCAGACACGGTCCCCTGATGGGCGCCACTTGTCACAGGGTTAGAATAATGTGCAGCTTGATCACCTAAGACCTTTGGAGTACCACTCTGCAGCTCTACTGCATGAGCTATCCGCCCGCTTACACATTTTCTCCCCCAGATAATGAACAGTTCTGAATCATTACAGTTCATTCGTCAGATACCATGTGATCGTTATGCCAAAAAATAGCCTATTTAATTAAGCATGAACACTTTGACCTATTTAACAGACCGTGTTTCCTACAGTCAAACAGTTATGCCTATTTTTAACTGTCATTTTTTAGGGGTGTCATCGATAAGGATTTTTGTATCGATATATAGGTAATGAATTATCGGCGATATAGCGATATATCGATTGCCAGGCAAAATTTAGCTTTCAAGTCTTTTTAATTTGTTTTAATATGCAGTTACATTTAAACACATGCAAAAAAAAAATAAACTATGAAAAGTGAACAATTTGTTTTTTTTTCATCATTATAACTTTTAAGGACAACTAATGACTAGTAACTTTAATGTTTAAAGCCTTTTCCATTTTACTTTTGTTGTTGTTGCTATTACGTAGTTATAAATTATGCTAAATCCCGTCCTTCCGTTCTATTACTCAGCCAGGGGTATAATTGGCAAACCGTAGTGTTTAGAACCGGAATAATTATTAAAGTTTAACATATGTAATCATAATTTTTACAAAGAAACACTTAAAAATATTTTATTACATGCTTTTCGGTGGTTTATAGAAATATATCAGTGATATAAAACTGGTAATTTCACTGTTTGAAACAGTGAAATTACCACTTTGATAATTTCACTGTTTTGAATTTAAGCCCCTTGCGTTGTTTCAGTGAACTACCAGCGTGCACAGTACTGGGTACTAACTTAATGACGTGACGTCGTAAATGACGTCACGTTGTATTATTATTTGGCGAGCTTTTCATTCAGTATTAGGTTTAATGTTTTTGCATGTAATAAAAAGAAAATTTGTTTAGTTTAGTGTAAGATCGAAATATATTTCACCTTGTGAACACCAAAAGTTCATATTTCACTCGTGGCGCAGCCACTCGTGAAATATACCTTTTGGTGCTCACTCGGTGAAATATATTCCGATCTTACACTGAACTCAACAAATATCCTCTATTTCTTGGCATTTTCCCTTTTAAAAATCTGAATTGGAGGGTCTTGACTCCCTCTTAGCAGACATGCGAGATTACAACGAAATTCGGCAGCATTCGTTAGAGACACTGGGAGGTAACTCTGGTATTGATTTCCATTTTCGTTTTAGAAAAAAAAGTTTGGAATATGTTAGTTCTGGCTTCCATAACTTTATATTTCGCTTTTATTTTGACGTTTGATCTATCAGTACTATAAAACCTGTTTGCTGAAGTGTCTTTAGCTAGAAATATGTGTGCATTCGATATCCGATATTTAAAAAATGGAATCGATATCGAATCGGATAACAAAGATGGTTGATACACCGATATCGTTTGAATCGATTACACCCCTATCATTTTTACTCACCGGAAATTATCACTGTTGCTAGTTTGGTTCTATTAAAACTGGTAAAGTAAAAGAAAAGATCTCAGTTCTTCAAAAAGTCATTATAAAGAATATAAATTATATTATGTTACCTATCTGCATCAATTGACAGCTCTCTTGATGCATGCCTAAGATTTATTTTATATTTGTATTGCAAACTGTTTCTCCGGAACTTGCGGAAGACAATGTTATGGCATCATCTTAAAAAAATCAGTTCTGTGATAACATTTTATAAAATAAATATTATTTGTTTTATCTTACAGAGAAAGGTTTACATATCTTTATAGCATTTCCAGACCATTCTATTTATTAAAAACCCTGGTTATCTCAATGTTGTCTGTAAAGCAATGCACATGTACACTTAAATTTGATTGAATTTTGATTTATTATCGGTCAGAATTATTTGTCTGCAGTACATGTATTTAGGGGTTAACAAAAAATATAAAGGCCAATTCATGTAAACTACATGTATTGACTAGAAAAATGACAAGAAAATGATTTAGTTTTTATAAAGAAATACATACATTATAGAACAGATAAGTCTTGCTGAATTTACCAAAATATAACATTCACAACTAGATAAATGTACTTTTTTTTTTAATTATAACTTAAAACTGTATAAAATTTCACAGCACATATATATTTAATACCCTGAAGGGCACTATAAGTGTCAGAATCAAATTAGTTTTTCCTTATTTAGAAAGGGTGAACATGAGTTTTATACTGTGCTAATAATTGTTTTAGAGTATGTTAGAAGCTTATCATCTGGAGAAAGTAGGGCTGAATGTAAAATTATTTATCATATAAGTAGCAAAAAGTAAATTGACTTCCATACAGAATATTCTAAATCACTATTGCCAAAATTCAAAAGAATTAAGCAAAATATGTTTCAGTGAGTTTTTTTTTTAAACTATAATTGGACACCAAAAATAAAAATTATTTTGAGTAATAAAATAAAAGCATTTAGAGGGCATAATAAGCCATTGAAAATGTATGTTCAAATACTACATTGCATATATGACCATTTAAAGAGTTAGCAGATGCATTGTAAAAGTTTAAAACTATCATGAAATCGACCACAGTTTAGACTTACATGTTTTTGTTTCTTCATTACCTCCCAATGCATTTCTTCATTTTCTCTTGTGTCTATTTTCAGAATCTAATGGATTATTTGATCAAAGATGCATTCTGATGCAGATATGAATGAGAGTGTTTACTTTAAAGAAGAAGATCTATCTTCAAGGGAACTTACTGCGTTTCCTCTAGATGTCTTGCAGAACAAACATATAGAAAGTTTATTGTTGGATTACAATGATATAAAAGAACTACCCCCTGAGATTGGCATGTGTATTCAATCACTTAAATGCTTTTCTGCATTAGGAAATAGCCTGACAAGTATACCTGAATCATTTGGAAACTTGGGACAATTGGAAGAAGTTTATCTGAATGAAAATGAACTTGTGAAATTGCCAGATTCTCTATGTAGATTAAAGCATCTAAAGGTTCTTAAATTGACTGGCAATCAGCTTAAAGTTCTACCAGAAGAGTTTGGTGAATTGACTGCACTGGAGAAACTCTCTTGTGATGAAAACATTTTATTTAGGCTCCCCAAAACATTTGGATGCCTTGAAAATTTGAGAATATTAGAGTTGAGTTGTAACAGCATTGAGAAACTATCTGAAGGATTTGGGATGCTTCGATCTCTTGAAGTTCTAAATCTTTGTAGTAACAAACTTACCTCACTACCTGAAAGTTTTGGAAATTTGCCAAATCTAAAAACTGTTGATATTTCTGTAAATGAAATCAAGTTCTTGCCATCTCATTTTAACTCAAGTCTGACGTTACAGAAAATATACATTGACAGTAATCTGCTACAAACATTGCCAGACTGGGTCTCAAACCTTGAAAATATTGTTGAATTTTCTGTCAAAGACAATCAGTTTCAAAATCAGACATTGTCAGACAGCTTTCCTAAAGTTTGTAAAAAGTTAAAACATCTTGACTTAAGTGGAAATTTCATGTCCTATTTACCAAGCACAATTGGTGAATTAGAAAAACTTGAATTTCTTCATCTTGGAAGTGTGATTGGTGAGCTGGAGAGGAGGAATTTTCAGAATGGTAACTGGCTGGCAGAAATACCAAATAGTATTTGCTGTTTAACAAACTTGAAACAACTTCACTTAGATGAGAACCAGCTGAATGAGCTACCTCGGGACTTCGGGTCACTGATTTCATTAGAAATTCTGGATCTAGGTAATTGGTTTATATATATAAATATATATATAAAATATATATGTGACTTATATGTCACAGGGTGAGAAAAATTGTACAGCCTGACTGGGACTTAAACTCTGGTGTACCAACTGAGCTATCCGGCGGCTTACTCACTATCTCCCACATATAGTGAACAGATCTGAACCATGATAGATATATATATATATTAAAACAAGAAATATAAGTTAATGTCAGTAATGTTTTTAGTATAATTTTTTTGTTCTGCCACATTGAGTGGAATTATCATTTTTCTCACTACAGATTTAGAAAGCATGTGGGATTATAGTCAATCACTTGCGGAGAAATTGGTCATTACTGGTTTGTTATCCGGGAAAGCTTATCCGGGACTGACCACCAAGATATGACTAAAGTATGTGTAAACATTGGTGTGAAAACCAGATCAACAAACAGAACTTTAAACTGAATTTCTTTGATGTACAGATATACAGACTGGCAAACACTGATACCTTTCATGTACAGCAGGGTAAAGGTTCAATCAATAGATAATTTAGAAAGAGTAAATTGAACAATACAGGTGTGACATTTTCTGAAAGGTAATTTGATAGTTTATTTAAAATAAACTTAATCGTTTTTACGCATTTTGTTTGAATAAATTTAGTATTGTTAGTAGTACAGATATTTTCTATATTCTAGGTCAGAATTTGCTCCATGAGTTGCCCGAATCATTTGGGAATTTGAAATGTTTAAGAGTATGTATGTTATCAAAGAATCATCTGATGTGGCTTCCCAGTAATTTTGGTGACCTATCTGAACTAGAAGATCTAAGATTGGATGATAATGAGGTATATATAATGCCGCGCAATGACAAAGCCAACAAAGTGCGTTTGCAACAGACATGGATCCAGACCAGCCTGCCCATCTGCGCAGTCCTATCAGTATCCATGCTTTTTGCTTTCTACCCTATTGCAAGTATAGAAACTGATAGCGAACAGCATGAACGCAGATGCACAGACTGTTTTGGATCCATGCTGGTCGCAAAAGCACTATGTAGGTTTTGTCATGGCGCGGCTCAAATTTACTATTCTTTATAATTCTTTCAATGTAATAATGTGGATAAAAAAGCTGAATTGAAGATTAGAGTTTTGAATAGAAAAAAAGGTACAAAAACTTTGATTAGGTTAAAGAAAGAAGTCTATGGAGATATATACAGTAAAAACTCTGAAAACCGGACCAAGTCCAGACTTGACCAAAAGTCCGGTTTTCAGAGGATTCCGGTTTTCAGAGGTTTTATGCATTTATTGATAATTATGATGTGTTTTAACAATGACTTTGTTCAACCATTTTGTATTTACTTTTAAAAACCCTTTTGTCTAAGCCATATCAATAAATGTCTTAAATATTTTTTTTATGCAAATCCATGAATATAATTCTGAAAATCAGAAATTAAAACAACACATTGTCTGAAATTTATCTTTTGAATTGGCTTTTGAAATATGTAATTAATGAAATTTAGTATTACTATTTTTGAATATAATTAATATCCAAACAAACATACTTCAAGGTCAAAACTTTAATCAAAACAGGAATCATTTAACAAAAGTTTCCCAATTCTTCTAGACATTTTATATTTAAAAAAAACCCAACAAATTTGTACATTTTGAAAAATCATGCATATACAGGATGAAAGAGCTTTACTTTAATTGCCAATAAGAAATTAACACACACTGACAAGTGTTTTTACACCTGCATAGATAAAAGTGGGTGATCTTTACTTGGTAATTGAACATGGTACCAGTTGAGATTATGCTTTAATCTACAATAAAATACACAGAAAGTTGACACTTTAAATTGCTGTCCGGTTTTCAGAGGATTTTTTATGCATGTTAAGCATCAGAAACCATAGAAAATCGTCCGGTTTTCGGAATTCAGAGGTTCCGGTATTCAGAGGATTTTTTTTTAAATGAACATATTGGGAGAAAATATGGGAAAAAATGTCCGGTTTTCAGAGGATTCCGGTTTTCAGAGGGTCCGGTTTTTAGAGTTTTTACTGTATCTATATAATTCAGTGAAGAGAAGTACATTGTAGTAGAGATATGTTCACCAAATAATAAAATGTTTCAACAATTAATCATTTTAGCTATTATTTCAAACTTCAGCATTAATAACTTCAGGAAATAAGTTACAAGAATGCATGACTTGTATGAGTGAACCAAGCTTATTTTACATGTATCTTTACTAATAATAGTGTAAATCTCTCAAGAATCAAGAAGGTAATTTTAATTTTTAACTATGGCCCTGTATTGTTTGGCATTATGTAATATTTAGAGAAATGCTCATCTGTGCTCATCTCAAAGTATATGTCAATTAACCAAACTTTCAGAAGTTAAAAATGTCCAATGTAAAATGATTTGCTCCTGGTTATCTATTAGCAATTATATGTCACACTTGGTTATTCAATGAAGGACAGTATTTTTATGCTTAATGAGAATCCATGAACCGTTTAAATGCACAAAAAGTAGCTTTTACTACTAAGTAAATGTAAATGCACAGAAAGTAGCTTTCACTACTAAGTGAATGTAAATGCACAAAAGTAGCTTAAATTACTACTAAGAAAATGTAAATGCACAAAAAGTAGCTTTTACTACTAAGAAAATGTAAATGCACAAAAAGTAGCTTTTACTACTGCACAAAAAGTAGCTTTTACTACTAAGGAAATGTAAATGCACAAAAAGTAGCTTTTACTACTAAGTAAATGTAAATGCACAAAAAGTAGCTTTAACTACTAAGGAAATGTAAATGCACAAAAAGTAGCTTTTACTACTAAGAAAATGTAAATGCACAAAAAGTAGCTTTTACTACTAGGTGCAGACCCTGGACCAGTCGTACATTTAAAGGATCAATATTGAAGCAGAGTGGTGCCTTACACACTGTCACTTCCTTGTCCCTGCCTAAAGTGTAGGGTCCCTTCTCTCATCTTCATTTATACATTGCCAGCTGGTCTGCAGGATGCAAGTTTCATTTTTGTTGCTTTTTTTACAACATCCTAAATTATTTTTGTCAATTATGCGCTATGCCACTCAACAACAATCACATACTGAGGGAGGGGACTTCAAACCACTGTGGGTTTGAATCCCAGCAGGGACATTGGATTCTTTAATGTGAGAAAGCTATCCAGCTAGCTTACGGAATGTCTGTGGTTCTACTCAGGTGCTCGTTCGTGCCTGAAATAATGCACGGAAGGGCACCTGAGGTCTTCCTCCACCAGTAAAGCTGGAACGTCGCGATATGACCTATACTGTGTCGATGTGACGTAAAACCCAAACAAATGAAAACAAACATACTGAGGGGTAGAGTGAGCTTGGTCCTTACTTAAGTATAATTAAACATGTATATATTATAAAAAAGGGGGGATTCTCTGCCATTATAGATTGCTATAACCCTACATTTCCTATTTTAACCATATTTTAACAGCACTTTTGTCGTTAAGTGTGCTTGGCATTTTTTCATGTTTTTTGGTGTTATTTGTGAAGAAAACTTTAGCCGTTTGCAAAGGAATATTGTGTAAACAAATACTCTGACATTACTATTGGAATTGATGAAAAACCTGATTTGTTACAAATCCTTTTCCCTGTTTTTCTGTATATTACACATATTTTGAACCTTGAAATTATATGATAAATATATAAAATATAATAAAGACTTTAACCAAGAAAGAGGAGTAGGAAATATTTAATTCTTTATGGTTGCTAAGTTTTGGATCTACAACAATTGTATCAATTGACCATTATTGCCTTTAGCTTGCAGAGTTGCCAGAGTCGTTCTATAAGCTGAGTAAATTAAAGACGTTAGATTTGTTCAGTAACAGATTGATAGAGATACCTGTTGCCCTACACCAACTTAAAAATCTGGTGAGACTTGATCTAGATTGTGTAAGTATATTTATATCAGACCATCAATGCAGTATTTAAATAAATTTATCATTTTAATTTTTTCATAGAATTTCCTCCATTTATTATTAGTACATATAAAGATTATTGAACATTTATATTCTCAAGAGGGTTTAGTATTGGTCAAACATTATAAAGATACATAATAATTTTGTGTAAATGGATAAAGCCATGTTTATATTTTCTTTATTGATACGGAGTAATATATTGATTATATAAATGTGGAAGCTTGTAGCAAACATATTAGCATTGTTTATTTTCATTAAAACCAATACATGTACTAAGTTTTACGTATTATTTATAATTATTGAGGTGCCAGAAATATATTGACTGTGTGAATAATATTGGTTCTTGCACTATGTTAACTAATTATTCACTAAGAAATAGAGCTTTCATCAATAGAGACGATATCAATGTAGCGTTGATATTTTTCTTTTGATCAATAATCGATACACATTTGATAAAATGGATTATTTTGATAAATTATTTAAATATCTATAGATTATGAAAATTCACTAAAAAACATATACAAAAGCAGACGGTCATGTCTAACACAAACATGTTGTTACATAATGGACACATTTCATAGCAGTGATGACAAAATATGGTCAGATAAAAAAAATCATGCAAAAGTCGTTTAGAAATTGGACACAACATATTTGCATGAACATTTTATTAAAAATCATTTGAACAGGTATAAAAAAATATTATATACAAGAAATTAGGAGAAATTATTCTTGCATAGCAGACTGGCGTTTCCGTGAGTTTTACCCATGCCGGAAATTTCATCTGGCATGGGGGGTGCCAGATGAGTCGCGTGCCAAACAACAACGTCATTTAAGCGCCATTTATGAATGAACCGCGTTAAAATGACATCGTTTTAGAAGGGAAATATGTCTTAGGATGACGTCATTTCGCCGTTGTTATTAAGTTGTAAGTTCATACGCTATTGTAAGAAAATAGTTATGGATGAAATGACTTTAATTTCCATGAACATGTATCATATTGAGGTAAACCATTTTAAATATGAAATAATATGGCAGAATATGCAAGAAAAAATATCTTTCATATGTTTGCGGTTCGGATCGGAATATCCGTCCCTCGGGAACCCGCCCATGGGCGGTAACTCTGCAAGCCTCGTTACCGCCCAATGGGCGGGTCCCCTCGGGACGGATATTCCGGTCTGAACCGCAACATATGACAGATATTATAAGTATTTATCAATATTTCTATTTGGATATCAGTATATCGCCAATATACTTTGTACTGAATCAATGACCACTCTTTTAAGAAATAATTCATGCTGATTTTCCAGAATGACTTTAAAGTACCATTAAGTCAAATACCTCAGATTATTACCCAGTCCAAATATCCAGAGAGAGACCCTAACTTGAAGGACAATTGGAGAGGTCGAGCAAGAAAGGACATTACTAATCTGGATAAAGATATCATTAAGGTAATATGCTTTTTGTGTCGCCTTGAAAAAGGCAACATATAGGGGTTACTTTTGGTGGCGAAAATGCCACTAAAGTTCAAGGTACATGTACATTGTAAGAGCGGTGTTTATAAATAACCTATATTTAAGAAGAAAATGCCTGAGTGACAGCTATACTGTTCACAAGGCGACACATACAACTTGTGGAGTTCTAACTATATTTAAGATATATGTGTATACTTTTAGAACAACTACTATATTTATATATCCTTTCAGGCAATAATTTAAAACTTTAAATATTTTTAGTAAAAGGAATTTTGAATAACTGTAATGACACAAGATTAACAAAAGAAAATCTTCTACAAAATAGAAGTGAAGAAGCTACTTAATTTATCAAGAAATACAGGAAGTTTTAATTTTCTTTTAAAAAAGGGAAAATTTTATGCTTCATCATCATCAGAATAATTCTTTTCATAAAACATTTTGAAGTTACAAAGGGTGTCATGACATGTTTTTATCAGTATACTATAGTAAGAGGCTATTAATTACTTTAATGATTATTTTATTCAAAAACCATATGTCATTGGAATGACTGTGATAATATATATATTAAAGTGTTTACTTGTAACACAATATTGACCTTGACCACAGGCTCCAAACTATGGTCCTTTAGAAGACTTTGAACCTCCTCCACCTGGTCTCAATCTAAGTGAAGACTGCCTTATAATGGCGATGAAAAAGAATATGTCAATATGGAAAAGTCATTCTGATACAAGCAACGCACAACGTAAACCCTACAGGCCGAAACAGAGAATGAGAATTCATTATGACTCCGGGTCGGAAGATGATAATGAGGATAATGAAAAGTTAGTACACAACCTTGACATTGATAATGAATGTGAAGGGAGTTACGAGGATAGTGGGACAGACTATGATAATCCTGATGATGACGAGGATGATGATGATGATAATTTTGAGCCTCCTATATATATACAACCTACAGAATGGAGTGGTATGTAATTATATTTAATTAGAATCATTGTGGTAGTCTTGTTCATGCAGTTGCATTTGATATTCCAGAAAATATTGGAAGAAAGAATTGCATGTGTCTATCCAACCATGAAGATTTTAACAATATGAATGAATGAACAAATATGGATTGATAATATGATGTTGTCCTTTATGTTTCATTTCATATGTTTTGTATGTTTCTTTTTTAAATATTCATGTCTTTCATTTATTTACTATATTGAAAACAAAGACAGTCAAGATAGTGTTGAAGAAAATCAACAAAACATGTCAAAAACAGAGCTGAAACTTTATATGTTACATGGCTTATTTTGAAGATTCACACTATTTTAGGGTTAAAGCAGTCTGTACCAGATAAAGGAACACAAGAAAATGTACAAGCAATGTTGGAGGACACAGAGTGCTGGGATGATGAAGTTAATGAAAATGCCAAACAATTTGGTAGGTACCTTATTTTCTTGCATCATCTGCATAATTTTTAGCTCGACTATATGAAGTACAATGTATATGGAGAGCTGTCCTACTCACCCCAGCGTTGGCAATCACGTCCAGATTTCAAATTACAGTTTTGGTGCAGTAAAATATTTTTATGCCCCCGAAGGGAGGCATAATATAATCGCACCGTCTGTCCGTCTGTGCGTCCCCACTTAACTTGTGTCTGGACTGTAATTTTGTCATACATTGATGTGTCGCGTCCAAGAACCACGTCCCTACCTCAAAGGTCAAGGTCACACTATCATAATGAAGTTTCACATTATCGCAATTAGAGTAAATAGGTACACACATTTGTGTCCGGACTGTAACTTTGTCATGCATTGAATGATTTTAAAATAACTGGGCATAAATGTCTACCACATTAAGACGATGTGTCGTGTCTAAGAATTACGTCTCTATCTCAAAGGTCAAGGTCACACTATCATTTTGAAGTTTCACATTATCACAATTAGAGGAAATAGGTACACACATTCGTGTCAAGACTGTTACTTTGTCATGCATTTAATGATTTTAAAATAACTAGGCATAAATGTCTACCACATCAAGATGATGTGTCGCGTCCAAGAATTACGTCTTTACCTCAAAGGTCAAGGTCATACTAACATTTTGAAGTTTCACATTTTCTCAATTAGAATCAAAAGGTACACACAATCGTGTCCGGGCTGTAACTTTGTCATGCATGTAAGGATTTTAAAATAACTTGGCATAAATGTCTACCACATCAAGACGATGTGTCGCGTCCAATAATCACGTCCGTACCTCAAAGGTCAAGGTCACACTACCATTTTGAAATTCACTTTATCACAATTAGAGTTTATAGGTTCACACATTCATGTCCGGGCTGTAACTTTGTCATGCATCGAAGGATTTTAAAATAACTAGGCATTAATGTCTAACACATCAAGACGATGTGTTGCGAAACACATCAAGACGATGTGTTGCGACAAAGACCCATGTCCCTACCTTCAAAGTCAAGGTCACATTTATAGTTTGAAGGTTCTCATTCTCTCAAAAAGAGTTTGAAGATACACATTCATGTTCGGACTGTAACTTTGTCATGCATGGAAGGATTTTAAAATTACTTGGCACAAATGGTTACCACATCAAGACACTTTGTCGCGGCTAAGGCTCATGTCCGTCTGTCCATGTGTCCCCACTTACACAACAATCATGTCCAAATGCATTGAGGGATTTTGAAATAATTTGGCACATATGTCTATCTCATAACAACATTTTGTCGCATCCAGGAACCACGTCCCATCTTCAAAGGTCAAGGTCACACTTATATTTTGAAGGTTCATGCTATCAAGAAACAATATTCAGCAATTAGTTACTTTCATTCTATTTTCTTTTCATAATACCTGCATGCTTAAGAAACCTTTTCGGGGGCATTCGTCACTTGGGTGACAGCTCTTGTTCACTATAACTTTTTCATGTATCAACTTCAAATATATTTTCCTTATCATCAACCACATCTTATGTGACAAGGTTCATAACTGTAGCACCAATATTTACAGATTAATCTCCCCTGGAACTTAGAATTTTCCTTAAAATTTTTTTATTTTTTACTTTAACTTTTTCATTTCTTAAGGTATCAACTTCAAACTTCAAATATATGTTCCTTATCATTAACCACATCTTATGTGACAAGGTTCATAACTCTTGTTTTCAGACCAATATCATATTGTGACATAAGTATAGACTTAGTTGTATTGCTTGCATTGATATAAATATTACAAAATATTACAATTAGTTAGTATTAGAAAATGTGAATGTTAATTTTTTTTTTCAGATGAAACTCCTGTGTATGTTCATCCAACAAAGCTATACTACACACCAATAGATTGTGGTAAATTTACATTTGCACCATTTGATATTCATGAAGAGAGTTATGTCAAGAGACCAGAAAGATATCCTGTTGAAGATGGTCAGTTTGAGAACTGTGATATAGATGATACAGAAGATATAAATGTTGATCCAGTTTTCTGATTTAGCAAGATGTCAGTTCATTAAGTGTGTTGACTCATCTTTAAGGTAGTTTTACTGTAATGCTTTCCTGCTCTTCAAACATCGGCCAATATCGTAATAAATCAGTCATTTTTGGAACGTTATTTTTCACAATCTTCGGTATCAATAATTTTTAGCTCAACTTTTTTTGGGGGAAAAAAAAGTAGAGGTATTGTTACAGTCAAGTCAGCCTTGCTGTTGTCTTTGCTGTTGCCGTCTGCAAACTTGTTAACCATTTATAGCCGGAATTTTGTACATAAGGATAAAGGGTGAGTGATTGTAAATAATTTAATACCCACTATTTAGTAAAAATAACACTTCGGAAATAACCGATTTGCTACTATATCGGCCGATGTATATAATTTTTTGGTGGGAAAACATTACAGTGAGACTACCTTAATAAATAATCCTGTTTGTTAAAGAAGCCATTTCATTTATAGATTTTGTGAGTTTATTCATGGTGAAAGCCACTTAGGGGTGTAAAATTATAAAGCTTCCGTTTTTCAGTCATCTGTACAACACAGTGGCAGTATAAGATAACTGTGTGCTAAAAGTTTGCCTCTGAATGAATAGTTGCTTTCAAAGAAAACCTTTTTTGACATGTTTAATGAAGTTAATGATCTACTCAGGTAATTTTTTTTGTTTTAGTAAAACAGCGAGATGATATCTACATATATGTAGTCATCTATTAAGTTACATGCCTCGTTCATTTTGCCTACCAAAGTATTATGTTGATATGTATTGGTGCTATTGTCTGATTCAAATGATAAAGTGACAAAGTTTTATACATCTAATATAACAGAATATTTAAACAGCTTTTAGTATAAGTGTAGATTAAAGCATTTATGAAAGAATGATGTTTATTTGAATTGATTGTAAAATAATGAAGTATTGAAGATCAACTGATTCAATATTTGTTAATTTGCATTTTTTAAAACCTATAATTGGACTTATAATTCAGATGAATACACCAATTTGATTGTGTTATGATCATTGGAACTATCTGAAGTTTTTGTTCACAATGAGCCTTTTATCATAATTGTCTTGTTTAATGAGCATAACATTATGAAGTCATGTATGTTAAATGGTATGAATTTACCTGAATTTTATTTTACTTGATCAAATTTGATTAATTGAGATAAACTGCCTGTTCTATTAGGAGTATTTTGAGTTATTTTTGAATAGATAGATAAATTAAAAGTTAGACATGGATTTGCCATTTTAATGATTATATTAGCAATAAAATGTCCAAGTTCTAATTGTCTAGTTCTTAAATATGACATCTTAGTAGCTGCTCTGTGATTTCTGTGTATTCGCTATTTTACCATGATATGTAAGATAATCTGAATTTGTTACAGTAGTTTCTTTATATTTTATTTGTTTGTATATAACTTTTTGATGTAATATTTGTTTTATTCATGAATTGTATTTTATATTGAAAGTTAAAATCATACAACTGCTACTCTAGTTTAAACAGTTTTGTGTATTTAGCAAATTACAAGCTAGAAATAGGTGGTAAATGTTTTAACTGGAAAAAGAAAATTTGATTAGATCAAAATTATGACATTTTACATAACATTTGTTTAGTCAAATACAAATTGTGCTCTATTTGATGAGTTAACACTGTTATTTGAGTAGTTACACTGTGCATTTGTCATTTAGTATTAAGTGATTGAAATAAATAAATAAATCCATGTAAATGAATGTAACTCTTTCAAATCTAGCGGACAATGACTTGTTCATGCTTCCAATCACTTGCTAGAACAGCATCCCAAATACTAATGACTATTAAAGTTTCATCATTATCAAGCTACTGTCCATATTTTTCAAAGTTATCTTTTAATTTTTTTGAAAAAGAATACTTCCAAAATACCTGTATGAAAGAAATATTTTTGTATATTTTCTTAACAGCCAATAGCCAATGTACCTAATTATTGGTAAATGGTTAAAACCTACTTAAATGGCAGCATAGTATTCTGTTTTGGAACATTTTATTCTGTTCACAGTGCAATATTCATAAGTCACTTTGTACAATATTCATGTTAGAACTATTATGACAATCAACCATAAAAACATGGGGGAGAAAAATTCAATGTTTATAAATGTTATTGAAATATTTCATTATATATAGCTTTATTCCCTTGAATTCAGTTATCCAAATTTGATAAAGAAGCACTTGCTTTGAGAAACACACTGTTAAATGTTGAGCGTTAAACATCATAATAGCTCATTCTCCTTTTCGTATGTCTTTACTTTTTTAGTTCGTAGTATACATATTATCATTTAATTTTTTCTTGTTACTAGATAAATTAAGATTAAGAATTTTGAAAAAATGTCATGATTGCTATTACCATTATATTGACGTTATGCTTGTAAAAATTATTGTATTATAGATGATGTACTATGTACAAATCTTAATAAAGTATCTGTTCTGTTCTTAAAATTTGACAGCAGGGTAGCTCAATTACAGAAATTTAGTGATGTTAAGGTTATTAAGGGGAGGCAATAATGCTAAGTGGTCGATATTTTTTAATACATTTATTGTTTGCACTATGGTTTTCAAGTTTTAAAGACACAAAACAGATACATAGGGTTTAAGTCTTGTAAAAGAAAATTAATATTTTTTTCTCAGACCAGGAATATGTTTTGTGTAGATTTACAAACATATTTTGAAATTGTCTGCTTCAAAAAAACTTTGATATTGACATGTAGCATCAATATGTAGTCATATGAAAAGTTTTATTAGCCATGATTCTGAGGTTAAAGTTATTTAGTATTATAAGGATAATTAAGAGGATGCCTTTTGGTGAAGTTTCATGAATGGGTCTCTTACCTATTTGAAAGATAACTTTTGATTACTCTAACAAATTTTCATTTGTTTCCCGCCTTAGCGGTGCTTTTGTTACTTACAGTTATCAACTGCAATATTTGCTTTTAGATTATGTGATTTTATTTGATAAGCTAATTTTTAAAGTTGTGATTTATTGTCTTCATTCACATATCAAATAGTCACGTGATGAAAGTGCATCTGATATCTGTGTTCATTCTTGTTTTTTAATTTGTGATCAGTTTGATTTTTAGCTCGACTTTTCTATGAAAAGGGGAGCTATCCTACTCGCCCCGGCGTCGGCGTTAGCGTCGGCGTTGGCGTCACACCTTGGTTAAGTTTTTTGTACCACCTCACTTTATTTCAAAACCATTGGAGGTATTGCTTTGAAACTGACCATACTTGTTTACCATCACGACCTTCATCAACAGACAAGAGGACATAACTCTGTCAAGGTTTTTGACAGAATTATGCCCCTTTTTGACTTAGAAAATACATTGAATATGGGTAAAATCCACTTATTGCCTTAACCCTTTGAGATATTGCTTTGAAACTTTTAATGCTATTTCACATCATTACCCCCATCTGTACGCAAGAGAAGGTAACTCTGTCAAGGATTTGTTTTAAAAATTAAGGCCTTTTATCGACTTAGAATCTTGGTTAAGTTTTTAGTACCAGTCCACTTTTTGACTGAACTGTTTGAGATATTAATTTGAAAGTTGGAATACTTGTTTACAATCATGATTCCCAAACATGTCCAGGAGAAGGTAATTCTGTCAAAGATTTTATTTGAATTATGGCCCTTAACTGTCAATGTTTTGTATTATAGGCAAGCACTAAAAAAGTCGAGCGCGCTGTCTTACGGACAGCTCTTGTATAGATTGGAATTACTCATAAGAAAATGAGTTAAAAATAAAATATTGACTTACACACATTGACTTTTGTTATTTACTGAAAATCATTTATGCATGTTTGTTGATGGTCTTTCTTTCAGTTAGCTTAAACACTTTATTGTCATACTGCCTGGTTTTGTCAGTCAATGTAATAGCTTGATTACAGCTATATCCAAATAATTTACAAAAACGTTAGGTGTGTCTACTCAGATACCTGTGTTTAGCTTTATAGCCGAAAAAAAGCTACGTTGTTTTACAATGTTTGTTTGACTTTAACCCAACAAAATAGAGACGAAGAGATGACTGATAAAGTAGCGTGCCACATTGAAGGTTCCATGATAATCGCCATATTAACACATCTGCGGATGTTTTCTAATTTAAAAATTTTATTTTGTCTTTAAATGTTCTGCTTAAACTGGTGCTAGGGTACGTAGATGGAAGCCTACAGTTACCACTTCTGTTCATGAACAAAAGCCTACAACCTTTCAATTTGCCGTTTTGGTCGTTTTTAGCTCGACTATTCGCAGAATAATCGAGCTAATGCAGTCACCCATTTGTCGGCGTCGGCGTCGGCGTCCCTGTGGTTAAGTTTTTGTATGTAAGCTGGTATCTCCATAACTACTGAAGGGAATGGATTGAAACTTCACACACTTGTTCTCTGTGATTATCTAAGGTAATTGGCACAAGTCCCATAACTGTGATTTGCTTTGTTGCATAATTATGCCCCTTTTTAGACATAAAAATTCTTGGTTAAATTTGTGCATGCCAGCTGGTGTCTCCATAACTACTGAAGGGAATGGATTGAAACTTCACAAACTTGTTCTCTGTAATTAAATTACATGATTGGCACAAGTCCCATAACTCTTATTTGCTTTTTTACATTATTATGCCCCTTTTTCCACTTAGAAATTCTTGGTTAAGTTTTTGTGTGCAAGCATCTATATAACTACTGAAGGGAATGGATTGAAACTTCACTCACTTGTTCTATGTGATTATTTAACATGATTGGCATAAGTCCCACTTAACCCTGATTTGTTTTTTGTTTTTTTGCATAATTATGCACCTTTCTTGGCTTAGAAATTCTTGGTTAAGTTTATTGCTTGTAAGCTGGTACCTCCATAACTACTGAAGGGAATGGATTGAAACTTCACACACTTGTTCTCTGTGATTATCTAAGGTGATTGGCACAAGTCCCATAACTCTGATTTGCTTTTTTTCATAATTATGCCCCTTTTTCGATATAGAAATTCTTGGTTAAGTTTTTGTATGTAAGCTGGTATCTCCATAACTACTGAAGGGAATGGATTGAAACTTCACACACTTGTTCTCTGTGATTTTCTTAGATGATTGGCACAAGTCCCATAACTCTGTTTTTTTTTCATAAATATGCCCCTTTTTCGACTTAGAAATTCTTGGTTAAGTTTTTGTATGTAAGCTGGTATCTCCATAACTACTGAAGGGAATGGATTGAAACTTCACACACTTGTTCTCTGTGATTATCTAAGATGATTGGCACAATTCCCATAACTCTGGTTTGCTTTTTTTCATAATTATGCCCCTTTTTCGACTTAGAAATTCTTGGTTAAGTTTTTGTATGTAAGCTGGTATCTCCATAACTACTGAAGGGAATGGATTGAAACTTCACACACTTGTTCTCTGTGATTATCTTAGATAATTGGCACAAGTCCCATAACTCTGATTTGCTTTTTTTACATATTTATGCCCCTTTTTCGACTCATGAATTCTTGGTTAAGTGTTTGCATGTAAGCTTGTATCTCCATAACTACTGAAGGGAATGTATTGAAACTTGAAGAGTTTGTACCTTTTCGGACAATTTTATTTATTCATATAGGTAAGCATTATTATACTCAATGAAACACCCTTGTGACAAATTTTCGAATAGTCGAGCGTTACTGTCCTCCGACAGTTCTTGTTCAGGGTTTGTTTTTCTCTATTTTTATGTCTGTGATAGATGGTGTTTACCAATACCGTCCAAGAACTGGCTCAATTAAACCGAGCATGCGAATTGTTGGACGACCTTCGTGATTTCCTCTTTTGACTATTCTCAAGGGATATAACTATATATATAAGACAGAATTTATAAATGTTTTAAGAAGAAAAGAACATGAAGAAAATCAGTGCTAACGTTTAAAGTGACACAGTTCTACAAAGATGTATGACGTAACTCTATTCTTGTCTCTATGTTTATTTATTCCTGTTGCTTTTAGATGTATGAATAATTTATATCAAATCTCTACGATCATGAAAACATGTTACAAATCTATTCAAAAAATGTCCTAGTATATAATTTGATTTCATGATTATGTTAAATATTTGATGATTTCCATCACTTCTAGTGTCACTGATGTTTTTGTCTGGGCCATAATGACTTTCTCTGTACACATTCTTTCGGTATAGACATATGAAACATATCTATAACAAAAGCCAAAATGATAACAGTAAAAAAGAGTAATGTGTTGTTTGTTTTTTTCATATTTATAGTGTGACTTTATGTATGTATAAAATATATCCTGCTACGTCAAAATATATGCTCGGCCGTTCCATGTCGTTTTTACGGAGTCGAAAAATAAGTATTTTGGCAAATATGAGATCAAGAAATTTATTTCACCACTTTAATTATAGATGTTATAACTGTTAATGAAAATTGCTTCTAAGTGAACACGTATGTACTTAAAAAACCAATGAACTTCGCCTACAGACCTCTCAGAGTGACCACTAGTTTTTATCCGAAATATTTGGTCAAGTTAAAACATTCTAACATATAATATTATGCACAACTACAATATCAAAATGGTATTGATAAAATGCATGATTTATAGAAGGGTTTGTCATTAGGTTTTCAATAATGAACGTTCACGTTTAAGTACAAATGTAAACATTATTTTTGTATTACTTTGATATATATATATGGCTCTTTGTCTTAATACTTTAATCAATATCGATCTGAAATAATGACAAAACATTGCGAGCCGTTCGGACAGTTTAGGATTTTTTTATGTAGTTTATTTCCGCAGCCGGTATCACTTGAATACATTAAGAGTAAAGCTCGACATGGGAGCACGAAAAGATAAGTGAGTCAGGTCATTAAAATGCATCAATGTTAAATTACAGTGATACAATCAATTATCTTCAATGTGCGCTAAAACAATGTGAAAGTCGCTAGACTTTATAAGGAAATTAGTTCCTGTATAAGATATGTGATGGGAGCATTACTGATCTGAAATCTAAAATTTCCGTTATTACTCTTGACCTAAATTACAAAAATGTATTTATCCTCATATTATGATCTCACAAAACCGACTAGGCTTGGTTTACCTTGTTATGGTTATGGCATTTGTAACTTGACACGTTAATGTTGAACTATTACCATAATCAGATAACTGGTCACTTTTCATATTCTTATGAATCACAATGTAAATCGATTCTCATCTTACATTGTTACTAATGGATAAAGTGTCTGTATCTTGATACCGACTTTCTGAATCTATCATTATTGATGCTTCATAGAATACAAACACACTTGCAATTTATTCCATTTAATATTAGATTCTTTAATGATACCGTTGTTAGAAATATAATTCATTAACTGAGATAATTACCTAAACCTTCAAAAGTTCTATGTTTGATTGTTGCTCTGATATCATAGTCATATTAAAGTCTGTGGTTTGGAATATACAATGTTTTGCATGACTATGTTTGTTTGTTTGTTCGGGTTTTACGTCAGACCGACACAGTATAGGAAATATGGCGTCGTTACAGCTTTATTGTAGGAGGAAAACCTCAGGTGCCCTTCCGTGCATTACTTTAGGCACGAACAAGGATTTGTGTATAATCACCAGCGTTCCGTAAGCTAGCTGGATAGCTTCCTCACATGAAAGAATCCAAAGCCCCAGTCGGGATTCAAACCCACAACGATGAGATGCTAGTGGTTTGAAGTCACCGACCATAACCACTTGGTCACGGACGCCCTGCATGACTATGTGTACACAAATGATATGCGTTTATTATAGATATTTCTAAAGGAAAGACGTATATTTACTTTTCATTTTTATGATAGACCTGCTTTGTTCTAAATATAATTACTTGCAAGATCAGACTTCTAACACATCGTTGTT